GGCCATGGCCAGTTCCCCATGCCCGCCAGCCCAGCTTTCGGCCCCGTCCCAACCTCTGCCGCCGACTTCGCCGCAAGGGACGCTACCCAGGGTGTTGGCTCCGGTGTCTTTGCTGCCGGCGGTCCTCAGGGCGGCAAGCCTTCGCCAGACGATACCCCCAGCGTGCCCCTTTCTCGCGACGCTGTCCAGCCTTACTTCCACACCAACGTATACCCAACCTTTGAGCGCCTCGTCCCACCCCCGGCTGTCACGTCCTTCGTTGCCCTCGACCAGGGCAACTCGTCGCCCAAGTTTGCCCGTCTCACCATGACCAACCTGCCGGCAAGCGCAGAGGGTCTCAAGAGCACCGGCTTGCCCCTGGGTCTTCTTCTCCAGCCCCTGGCCGAGACCCAGCCTGGCGAGCTGCCCATCCCCGTCCTGGACTTTGGCGAACAGGGCCCGCCACGCTGCCACAGGTGCAGAGCTTATATGAACCCCTTCATGATGTTCAAGGCCGGCGGCAACAAGTTCGTCTGCAACCTTTGTACCTATGCTAATGATACCCCTCCCGAGTACTTTTGCGCTCTTAGCCCCCAGGGCGTCCGCGTTGATCGCGACCAGCGCCCCGAGCTGACCCGCGGAACCGTCGAGTTTGTTGTTCCCAAGGAGTACTGGACCAAGGAACCCGTCGGCATGCGCTACCTCTTCGTTATTGATGTTACTCAAGAGTCTTACAACAAGGGCTTCCTCGAGTCTTTCTGCGAAGGTATCTTGAGTGCTCTGTACGGTGGCTCGGAGGAAGGCGAGGACCAGGACGAGACTGGAGAGCCAAAGAGGAAGATTCCCGCCGGTGCCAAGGTTGGCTTCGTCACCTTTGACCAGGAGATTCACTTTTACAATGTCAGCCCTGCGCTCGAGCAGGCCCAGATGATCGTGATGCCCGACATCGAGGACCCCTTCCTGCCCCTGAGCGATGGTCTCTTTGTGGACCCCTACGAGTCCAAGGCTGTCATTAGCTCGCTCTTGACGCGCTTGCCCCAGATGTTCTCCAACATCAAGAACCCTGAGCCAGCCCTGCTGTCCGCACTGAACGCGGCTGTTGCTGCGCTTGAAAAGACGGGCGGCAAGGTCTTTTGCTCCCTTGCGGCTTTGCCCACCTGGGGTCCTGGCCGTCTCTTTATGAGAGACGACGGCAAGCACCCGGGTGGAGAGCCTGACAAGAAGCTCTTCACTACCGAGCACCCTGGCTGGAGGAAACTGGCCGAGAAGATGGTTTCTCTGGGTGTTGGTGCCGATTTCTTCATGGCTTCGCCATCTGGCGGCTACTTGGATATTGCTACTATTGGCCATGTCTCCTCTACGACCGGTGGCGAGACCTTCTTCTACCCCAACTTTGTCGTCCAGCGAGATAGCACCAAGCTCTCCCTGGAAATCCACCACGCAGTCAGGCGCGAGACGGGCTACGCAGCCCTTATGAAGGTCCGCTGCTCCAACGGCCTCCAAGTGAACGCCTACCACGGCAACTTCATCCAGCACACCTTTGGCGCCGACCTCGAAATTGGCGTCATCGACGCTGACAAGGCTCTGGCCGTCACCTTTGGCTACGACGGCAAGCTCGACTCCAAGCTGGACGCACACTTCCAGGCTGCCTTGCTCTATACCACCGCTTCGGGCCAGCGTCGCGTGCGCTGCATCAACGTCATCGCCGGCGTCTCTGACCTAGCGCGCGACTGCATCAAGTTCATCGACCAGGACGCCATTGTCTCGATCCTGGCCAAGGAAGCCAGCACGAAGCTCTCCACCACCAGCGCCAACCTCAAGGAAGTCCGCTCCTCTCTCACCGAAAAGACCATCGACATCCTTGCCCTCTACCGCAAGAACCACCTCGCCGTGCCTCACCCGCCCCAACAGCTCGTCATGCCCGAGCGTCTCAAGGAGTTCACCATGTACGTGTTGGGCATGCTGAAGTGCCGCGCCTTCAAGGGCGGCAACGAGACCACAGACCGTCGGGTGCACGACATGCGTCTCATCCGGTCCATGGGCGCCCGCGAGCTCTCCCTCTATCTCTACCCGCGCATCATCCCGCTGCACAGCCTCCAGCCCGAAGACGGCTACCCCGACGCCACCACGGGCCACCTGCGCATGCCCTCGACTCTGCGCGCCTCGTTCGCCCGCGTCGAGCCCGGCGGCGTCTACCTCGTCGACAACGGCCAAGTCTGTCTCCTCTGGATGCACGCGCAGACCGCGCCCGCCCTCATTCAGGATCTGTTTGGCGAGGACAAGACGACGCTCCAGTCGCTGGATCCGTACACGTCGACGATCCCTGTCCTGGAGACGCACTTGAATGCGCAGACAAGGAATATCATTGAGTATATGCGGACAGTGAGGGGCAGCAAGGGGTTGACGATCCAGTTGGCTAGACAGGGCATTGACGGGGCCGAGTTTGAGTTTGCGCGCATGTTGGTGGAGGATCGGAATAACGAGGCGCAGAGCTATGTGGATTGGTTGGTGCATGTCCATAAGGGGGTGCAGTTGGAGGTGAGTTCTCGTCCTCTCCTTGAAAACGCTCTTATTTGGGTGATTAATGAGTAGCGTACTGACGTTTGAGGAATATATAGCTCGCGGGTCAACGTAAGAGGGAAGATGGCGAAAGTCACTCGGCGCTGGGAAGTTTTACGGGGTTGAGGCCTGCGTATTGGTAAAGGCGCGTACATATAACGGATGGGGGAGGTGAGGTAAGTAGTGGTGGGTGGTGGTGGTTGTCACGTTTACAACTGACTACCTCATGTATTGTTCGGGAAAAAGAAGGTAGCGGAGATCAAGCGGATCAATAACTGAGGGGTGGTTTTTTGTTAGGTTAGCGGAGCTGAAGGATGGCGAGGCGGAAAAAAAGGAGAATACCATGATAAAATTTCACGTTGCCAACCCTATTTCTACAACTCCATGCCTTTCTCTTTATACCCTTTTTTTTTTTTTTTTTCTTTGGTTGTTACGACGCCTTGAGGATCAGGTCACCCCGTTCGTTGGTGATATACTCAAGTAAATGGGACAAAGAGCAACTTCACACCTTACTGTCAAGCTTGAGGAGCTGACGGATCATCGAGACGGGCGACCACTATCGCTAAGCCGATACTTTTGCTGGTATGATTCTCTCGGTTGTTTTTCCGTCCCATAGTCGAATGGATTGACAGGCTATCAGTTGACGTTCCAAAGCCCCCCCTCTCTCCTCTTTGGTTCTTTGATTTATTCATGGACACCTATAGGTGATGTTAGATATATACGTGTCACAGTGTAGGAAGGATGTGTATTTGAGGGAGGAAAGGAGTAGATAAAGAGATAGATACTTCAAGCTGCCTGCCCTCCCGGTGACAAAGGATTGGTCAGGTAGATGAGTGGATACCTATGGAAAGCAGGATCATAGTGGGCGCGGTAAAACAAATTGGTGGACTAGATAGGTGGACTAGGTGGACTAGGTAAAGTAGGTCAAGTAGATGAACTAAAGACACCAGAGGAAATAGATAGGTGAAGTAGATGAACTAGATGAACTAGATGAACTAGATGAACTAGATGAACTAGATGAACTAGATGAACTAGATGAACTAGATGAACTAGGTGAGCACGGTGAGCAGTGAGCAGCGAGCATGGTGAACTAGATGAACTAGATGAAATACATGAACTACATGAAACAGATGAACTAGGTAAACTAGGTAAACTAGGTGAAGTAGAACTAGATGTAGGTGAACTAGGTGAACTAGGTGAAGTACCTAAGTAAGCATGGTGAGCAATGAGCATGGTAGGGAATACTGTAACAACACGGCACGAGTAAGGAGCAATGAACAAGCAACGAATGGTGAGTTTATAAGTACACCAAGTTGTACGGAGAGAGACACTCCGCGATAATATCGAACCTAGTGATCACGGAATAGGTTTGTATGCTCTAACTTGAACATATCCACAGCTATCCATTATGATCCTGTACACTCGATCATCGCTACCGATAGTTGGATGGACGCATGGATGGCTGTACAATGATATCCTTCTTCTCAATATCTACATGGCAGGCATATGATATATTGGACTCACCTCAGGCAGGTGGATGGATGGTAAATGATATTTTCATAATAGTGAACTTCGTAGGTATGTACACGGTTTTCTTGTATGTTCGCTAATCTTTTCCCTTTTCTCCGTGACACGATCACTCACCGACCCTACCTACCTTACGTTACCTAGATTTACTTACTCTACTTCGTGACCTTGCTCACCTTCCTACTTCACCGAAACTTACACCACCATTCCTCCCACCCATTACATCATCCACCCATCTTTTACTCCTACAATGGTCTGTTTGCACAATTATTTATCGACCCAGCCGACCTAAGCGGTCCTCCATCTCCCGAACCGAAACTTTTACAGCACAGGAACCCCAACCCCCCAAGCGTATGTACATAGTATGATCGCCTTGGCGATCCTAATGGTCAATGGTTATTGTACCTACAATTCCACCCGAATGGAGCGATAGCGGAAGACTCCTTCCCTGTTTGGCTGGCTCCCTGCTTCATCTGGTGAATCCCGGCATCTTGCAGTGAGTCCTCCATCCAGTCCCACACACCCCTCATCATCAGTCATCAACAGAGAGATCGGTAGACGGGAAATCGGCAGCTAAGCGTCTCATCCAACTTACTTTTCCGATCATGCAGTCACGTAATAGATCAGGTAGGTAGCCTTCCGGCCTTTCCAGTGTTCCAATATGGATTAGGGCACGCGGAGTGACGGAAAGATCAACCGGTTCGTGACCATGTCATGTCACGTCGGTCGAGCCTCTTTGATCCTGATCTTGATCCTGATTCTGTGGTTGGGGGGTTACGTAGCGACCGGTGGAGCCCAACGATGTCGATAGTAGTTGCGCCGCTGGTGCTTGGGTATTGCCGATTGTTAGGTAATGGTGATCATGGGTTCGGTGTTCCCATTCTTTTGGTTTCTTTTTTTTCTTTTTTTCCTTGCATGAGACAAAAAGTATCATCTCAATCCTCCAAATAGAAAACTGAGTAGTAGCAGTAGGCCTCTCGCTTCTCTCGGAGAAGTAGCCGGAGCCAGTCACTGACCTGCCGACAGTTCACCTCCGCCCTCTTTTTGCCATGGTGGGATCAGTTTAAGTAAAGTCAAGCGATATGTGCCACCTTTTACCTCATTGCTTCTTCCCCGACTGCACCGTCTCTTACCTTTTCCAGAACGTTGGGGCTTTCACCGGCTTCATCTTCCCTCCTCATAGGCCGGCCGTCTTTGCCGGCCGATGTTGCGTTGCTTCTTCTTCTCAATTGTTCATGCAGCGGAGGGGCTTTGGCGGTTAGTCTTTCCAAGACACATCGTTCGGCTGTTGAATGGTTGGTCTGTTGAGCTGTTGGCAGGGTAATAATGAGGTGAGATTTCGAGGCCTTCGGTCGTTTAGACGTGGAAGAAGAAAAGCAAACAGTGAGCCGGGAATGTGAGATCGAGAGGTTGCATGAGCAGAAAGAGATTTGAGGCTAGGTGAATGATAAGCCCCGCAGCAGCGTGAAATTAACAAGGAAGCGATTGATGTGGTGCTATACTGCTTTGAACACTCTGGGCAGCAGCAGCAGCAGAAGGAATAGGAGAGTAAAAAAAACGAAAGTGAAAGTGATGTGTCAGTTATCAGATTGTCCCGGGTAAACAAACGAGCAAAAGAGGAGGGGAAAAGAGGGATGAAGGACTAACCTAATGGACTTTGGAACGAGTTGCAGCATCATTTTTGATGGTAAAGGGAAGATGGGGAATTTGGGAAGCATTGGGCATCCCATATGATACGAGTATGAACAACAAGGTTCTTACCACTTACCACTCGCGATTTATCACAATCATTGCCTTCTTACTCGCCAGTGAGCGAGCAGAGGGTTTAAGATATCGCCAAACATCTGACCGGGTGCTGTTTTGCTTCTCACGTGCCGCTCCTCTTTTTCTCCCCCACTCTTGGACTAGGAAAGCCGGTTGCTCATATGTACTTCCTATCTACAAACACGCAATGAGATCTGAGGGACTAGATAGTAATGAGTTAGGGTATGGCTCCGTCGATCCTTGTATGGGCTGTTCGTGGTCGCAGTGTCATGACTGATCAGTGTTTATCCCGCGTACCCACATATGTTCCTAAACGACATTACATACCTGAGGTACCCGGCGTTTTCGGCTTCGTCCAATTTGTCTGCCGTACTTTCTCCTCTTTGTCGGTAGTGGGTAATGAACATTGGACTTGTTGAAGCACAATGTACAAGTGAGATTTGTGTTGCAGTAGTGTACCTGTCTCACCGGCACGTTGGGTCAAGTACTTGGGGGGGGACGAGGAAAGATGGATAATCTTTGAGTCAGTGAGGGTGAGGAAGTGCTTGACAATAATCATATGTGCGGCGTGTATGGTGGAGCGGGACACGGATCGAGCGAGAAAGGTTCCTTAATTCCCCTAGTTTTGCTTGTCGAGTGTGTTGTCTGACAGTCGTACTCCTTCCAACCACAAGTGAAAGTGGACGAGAGGAAAAGCAAAGGTTGCATCAGCTGGGAACTGAAGGAGAGTTGACGGACCGGTTACTTGGAATATAGCGTGGATATTTCTTTTTTGTCAAGTATCCGCAGTTGCCGACCAGAATATGCCACGGTATTTTTTGACCTGCTGCCTGTTAGCTCTTCTGTCATTCCACAATGTCTCACGCTCTCTCGGTGTAACTAGGGCCGGGTTAAACTTCTTTCCTGAAAGGTTATGAACTGGTAGGCACGTATGAGCTTGCGCTTAACATGAGGCATACTCACAGGCGCCACATGCTGAATACTTTCCAGGCCCGTGCCGTTGATCATCCCTTGAGCCCTAAAAACCCCCTGTGTCCCTATATATGACCCCAAACCTTGCCCCTGTCTCTGTATTCATCTGGACTTGTCTGTTGGACTGGATCTCCTTGTTCCTGGCGCCTCCGATGCCGAGTGCATGTTTGTGTGTGGGTGGGTGAGCCCGGCAGCCATATTGTCTTTCTGTGGTTGTAATCTCAAAAATGGCTGTTGGGTCCTAGGCACAAGGGGTGATAGTGTGCGCTGTTCCGCCTAAGCTACATATGCATAGTGTAATTCTGTTGAACCAGTACCAGCTGTCGGTATGTGGGAGGTGGTTGCGGCTTGCCATGTGTCGTGTCAACCTTGAAACACTGTGAGGTAGCGTTTTTTTGAGGTGATGACCTACTGTAAATTCGCGTCACGTGGAATTGACCTGAAGGACGAAATAATATAGGTCAGTGAATGGAGAATCGATGGTTTGATGAGAGCCAGGGAGATATCGTACGATACCTAGGCATGATATGATGTCAGTTACTGAACATCCACCGCGAATTGCCTGATTGCAGAGAGAGGGCAGACAGATAGTCAGTTGGGGGAAAATGCGATTTTAGCCAAAGCAGGGCTGTGTAGTCACCTCCTCGTCATCATCGTAGACGGATCAGAGCTAAATTAGCTTCTCCTTTATTACCATCACTCTCTCACCCGAAGGCACACCCGGCCCGTTCGTGATGCGCTGCGTGCCCGCCGCCAGTATGAATGTAGCTACCGTTCGGAATATTCCCATAACACCAACCTTGCGGTCAACAACGTGTGAGTACACAGTCTCTTGTGGTTTTACGCTTAATTGTGCCAGTATGGTAACACGGATGCTGTCGCATGCGCGGCCAACCTCTCCAGGGTCGGGTCGCGTTGAAAAGAGAGACAAACATCGAGTTTGATATACATCGTGAAGGCGGTAAGTGGGAGACATGCTGTTAATAGACAGGGAGTTGCGGGCGGTAGCTCGTAGATACCTGTCCACTGGGTGTCAGTCCACTGTGGAAAAAAAGAGTGGTAGCCATGTAGCGCTCGTGCCATCAGGGTTGTGTTATACAGAGATTCAGTGGGAAAGAGCACTGGGGAAACACAAGTGAGCCATGGTGAGGGTGATGTGCGAGATCGGGTAGTACAGATCGCACACAAATATGCCGTTTCCCGTTACGAAGGAGTCTACGGGGCTTACAAGGACAACAAGGCACGCCCACAGAGCGACCAATGTACACCGAGTTATGTAGTTGTGGGATGTTATTGCACCGTGTGCTGCGTAACGCAACACCATCACCCAGCTTGGTGTGTTCCGATCGTTGTTAGTACGGTCCCTGTCGTACGCGAGTGAAGGTGAGGAAGGAAGGCCATTGTAGTAATTAGATAGGCGGCGTATCTCGACGCTGTCAATTTCAGTTGAGGTGGACTGGGCCTTTTCTGAATGGATTTGACGGTTTAGAGTCCAAATACAAATATGAAGTAATGGTTGATGTAAGTTGTACTGCGTAGCTCATCCTGTCAGCTAATTGAAAGGGAAGTAATTGGACAGACTTACCAAGGCTTACGTGCAGTACCGTATATTCTAGGCGTTCTAACACACGTTTACTCAACATTCACACGGTCAAGTGACAGAGGGTCTTGTATGTTTGCAGTTCCGTGGGGGTGGTAAAAGTTCGGACTGGACCGGCAGTCAGTGCCAGGTCTGTTCGAGTGAGCATCCGCTCTCGGATGGGGTAAGCGAGAGCGAGGGCTCCACCGTTTTGTGATAGAGGCGCTGTTTTCTTGACCAACACGTTTTGTGATTGATGAAGAGTGTGAACTCGACTCTAGAGTTGCATTCGACCAACAGGACAAGGTCATACGTGAGCCATCGACGCTATGCTCCCGCCATATTTGCCTGATCACTGCAGAATCTCAAAGAAGACGTCAATAAGGCTGACTGAAAGGTGGTTGGAGATTAAACGTAGTTACCATGCTGGAGAATGACTGCCTCGTAAGGGCCTTTGGGGGCCATCGCGGGACTGAAGGGTAGGGGGAGAGATGCGCCACTTGAGGACGGAAAAGGAGCATGCCGTGTTCATACCCCCCGTGAGACACCATTGCTGTTCTGAAACAACCGTAGTCCCTTATGTCTTGCTCATTGAGCTGTAGCAATGCCCTGTACTTTGCGAGTGAACTGCGGAGACTTAATCGGTTAGCGCCATTGCGAACCACTTTGGTGCCTTCACCGGCTCGGATCTGGATCCTACATGTTTCTTTGAACTGGTATGTTTGTTGTCTGGGGCCATGCTGCGATGTGACTATTGGTTCAAGTAGGTTTGGAGACTACCAAGGACGAAAGAAAAAAAGCACTAAAGATGGTATCAGATTAGCTCAAGATTGAGATCCCGCAGTCAGTCGATGTATGTACGTTGCTTTTGCGGACTCATGCAGGCAAATGGCATGGCTTATTGAAACGAGGCCCCCGGTCGTCCACTAGCCCTCAAAGACAAGATCAACACCCCGAGATTGTGTTTTTCACTCTGTCGTGAGTACCAGCGCCGGATTCGGCTGAAGAGATGGACAACAGTGCCTAGAAATTAGGTTCCACCGGGGTACACCTCGCAACGGTCAGGACGTCAAGCTGCGCCATGAATCCATTTGGGGATTCCCGAAAAGTGTCTTGTTTTGCGGGCAAACAAGTCCATCGGCCCGTTGGATTTAGTTTCCTTTCTCGGGATGCCCTTAACTGTATCAACGATGAGGATACAAGCCAACCGCACCCCCAGTCTCCTAGAACCTTCGAAGGGTCAATTCTCTATGCGTGACACCTTAGCACGGAACATTGCCTGGTGTTTGACATGATCGTAAGCGTGCTTCACCGGGTTGATCATGCCAGTGAACAGACCAATACGTGACCGGTATGTCCATATACACAGGTGCAATTTTGCTTTTTCCAGTCACTTGAGCAGGATCTGACAGCCAGCTTGATGAGCAAGCCAGGCAGTGCAAGCGGGTCACCTACAGCACCCGCTCACCAAGCTAGTACAAACCAAGCCCACTTGTGGTAGCGTTATCAGTAGTTGAGGACCTGAAGTAGCGGAGTATGATGTGCAGTCAGCCAGCGATGTGGAGGAAGTTTTTGTATTCAAGAAAGGGTCCAAAGGGGGGTTAAAAAGAAGCAAGACACCGAAACGACCAACAGCGTATCGCACAGCCCACCATTATGCGCCATTTTGCCGCATCCGAGCCAGACCAAAGAAACACAAACTCCGTTAGGGTGTCTCATAACACTGATACAATCGCTTTCAAAGACCCTTACCAGGGCTCCAGGGTATTTGCCCACCATAGCAGGAGAATCCGCGGTTTTATGCAACCGAAACTCAAACCCAACGCCAACTCCAGAGCACGACAGAACGGAAACGAAGGGGGTCTTTAGCTCGCAAGTAGGTTGTTTAGCCCATACCGAGAATCCGGCTGGCTGACTACTCGCTGAATCTCGGTGTCGTGAAATACTCGGTGAAATACTTCCAAGTCAGAAGGACAAGCCGCGGCAGTAGTGCTGCTAAGCGTTTCTCTGGCCTTCTTGGCAAGATCCTCCAAGATCAGTTTGCTGGTACTTTGATTTGGATCCTCAAACACAAATGCCACGGAGGTGATACGCCCACGCAGGTCAGGGTCATAGAGCAAGACTTCCCGCCACATCTCGGCCACCTCTTGGGGCGGGTTGCGGTAGCCATTGCCAAGGCCGAAGTCGCCAATGACAAGCTGTGTATGGCCGTTATAGGCTGCGATCCGAAGTGCTCCTCGTAACAAGTCTTTCAACATGTCGCGTTCGTTTTGGAAGGAGAACTTTGTTCCGTTCTGCGTAAGTTTAGGCCAGCGGGTAGGATGGACCGAAACGACAGGAATTGACTGCCACTGCTCGGGCGGGAGCTTCTCGTATCTGTCGTGAGGCCCCCGAAATACAACTAGAGTCACGCACGGTCAGAAAGTGATTCGTAACATGCCAGTTGGTAATACTAACCGACATCTCGCGAGTAAATACCACCATAGCTTGGGATGGGGTAATTCTCAGTCACCGTTGATCCTGGCGCAGGTGTTGCCAAGTTCGCAGAAAGAGTGCTTCGGCGGCATAGGCGTTCCTCATAGCCAACAGCTCCCGTTTCCCAATCCCCGCCTGGTCTTTTGTCGTTGGCCGCGCAAATGAAGGCTACCGTGTGTGGTTCTGCAATCTGCTTTGCCCAGTTCAAGGCACAGTCGACTGGATCGCCGTTGTAGACAACTGTAGCTGGTTATTAGACGGGAATGACATGTCTCAGAAGCGTGGGGGTCTTACAGAACTGGGGAGGGGAAATATCAAGAGGTCTTTGTGGGAAGTTGATCTGCGCTAGCGGTTGATGCAAAAGGTAGGAGTTGATGTCCCACGTGCCCAAAGACCGGATATAGGGGATATGTTGCCTCTTAGTCTCGGCAGCTACTTCAGACGGCTTGGGCCTGGATGATCTTGAGCTTCCGGGAGCCATTGTGAGTGTGCTTCAAGGCGATCGAGGGGTTACTGGAGGTGTTGTGGTGAAACGAAAGCGCAGTAGACGTTTGAGATCAGGTGTGACTGTGAATCATGGTGTTGTGTCGGTGGTAAAGAGAGGATACGATGGCGTTCTTATACACGACCAGAAAAATTCCAGGACGGTCAAGCCAAATGGAAAAGACATTGTAAAAAAGCAGCAAGCAATGGCTACCAACAGCCACGGTGAATCATGTACGATGAAGCAAAGCCCAGGCTGCGGCTGTTGGCGAGATCTGAAAACCAACCCCGGATGGCGGGCGGCCTGGTCGGTGCCCTGGGTAGGAATGCATTGGGTGCATATCGAAATGTAGTCGTGTAACTGAGCATGTCTTGTCTTGGACTAGACTAAGAGATATGACGGGCATATGGGGGACCTGGTAGACCTGTAGACCTTGGGCGTGGTTAGCCAATGCTTTGCGAGCAGAAGAGACAATGGTGATGATACCTTTACCGGCTACCTGATCAGTTTTTGCGGTCTGCAAGATCTGTCATAGACAAATCACCGCCGTTGTGCTACCGTACTACCGTGTTACCATGCTACAGCAGGGTTCCAGGTCTGTGGTTGCCGGGATCAGGACCATGGACGGCCGTGGACCATGACAATGGTACTGTGAGGAAGTATTGCCCACTGGCCACGAGCAGTGACTTGCCTTGGGTAATGGAGCAGAGGGCAGTGCCTACACGGTGACCCAAGTAGTAGGTAGAGGTAGGCCATTGGGAGTTGCAGGGCCATCATTGTTCACACGCTCAATCCCCCCTTCTTGCCCCCTTACCACCTCCCCATCCCGCCTCATCCTGCTGACGCCGGCTACCGAGACTCGGTATGGCAGGCTACTGCTGTGTTGCAGCTTATACGCCATCTTGAGTCAATCTGGTACTCCGACGCCTCGCGGGACCAGTGTGCTGGGGCTACTGATACAAACTCCCGACGGGTATCCAATGCGCGAGGCCGCGGGGTCAACTGAAATATCGAGGACCGAGGCCGCTCTCCGTCTCTATTCTGAGACCAGTCATGAGTTTTGTCGTCCGTAGCAATGCTGGTATTGCTTTCTCAGTGCAGGAAACGCGGCTCTGGGTAGAGACATATAAATCTAAGCGAACTCAGCTCATCTGGATATCTGGAACAATGCGCAGGCGAAGAGGAGGCGGACGGCCAGACGGCCAGACGGGCGGCATGTCCAGCCAAGAATTGACTTTGATTTTGTACATGGTCGCCAGCCGCTTGTTGATTGCTTGTCTTGCCAGTTAGGAGCCAGGAGCGTGCTTGGGCGTCCATTCGGCTCAGCAGAAGCAACCAGACTCAGGCCGGAGTCGCTGGAGGGCACATCATGGGGGCGAGAATGCTGTCAATGCTACAGTACGATTAGGACAGCCGTCGACTTGATGGATGGCAAATAGACTATCGGCCTCTCAGCAGAATCGCGGCTACGTCTGGTATCCAAACCGGTCAGCGATGGTGTGAATGGTGTGGTTGCCAGCTCAGGAGGTGGGATGAGGTGATGACTGGAGGACGAGACAGAAACAGCTGGGGCGTCTGAGTGGGGATTCCCCGTTCTGGATAGGTCGAGATAGGCCTGGATGGACGGGAATAGGTACTATTGACTTGGAACAATGTAGTAGTAGTAGAAAGTGAGAGTGGTGAAAAGGGAAGAGGAAAAGGAGGCCATTCAGGTTTTGGGCGTTGCAGTGTCAGAGTGTCGTCCATCTCAATGTTGCACTCCAATCTTCAGTGCAGTGGGAATACAGAGGCACGCTTGAAGTGGGAAGATCTAGGGCAGGTCAGCTGTCAGAGTTTTCGTTCTTTCCCATTCTACCACCATCCAGGCAGCCATTGCCCGTGAAAAGAACTCAAATTTCCAACATCGTGTGATCCAGGTTGCAAGTGGTTGAGGAAGGTGCAGTGGTTGAGTGCACCTAGTTACCTAACACAATGAACAGCAGGAATGGACGGGCAGTGGCAGGTAGGTCACTGCAGTGGGTGACCTGTGGAGCCACTCATGCCACTGCCACTGCCACGGCAGTGCCAGCCCCGGTGCTTGTTCCACCGTGTTGGTTGCTCTCTGCTCAAGGGAAGTCCTCCTCCGTCCTCACCTCGGGCAGTCGAGTCGAGTCCCGTCACTTTTCCAAGTTGCACTCGGCTCACCGAAGCCGAACATCGGTAACGGGAGCTTTGCCCAGACAACTTGAAGTAGAATAAAAGACGCTCGGACCACCAAAGTCAAGTATCGTCGCCAATTTCATCCCAATTTCCATACCGTCTTTTGAGCTTCAACCTCAGATGAACCTAAACCCTTGCATCTGATACCGTGCGAAACCACGGAAAAGGGATCGCGACTCAATGATCTACGATCCACGATTTCACGATCCAAACCAACTCAATCATCCATGATCTATCCATCCATCCAATCATCCAAACAATTGCCATTCTCAACCGGTCCAAGACTCCAAATGTGGTCGTGTGTACTATGTACTGCGTAGTACGCGAGAGGTAGATGGTCAGTGCGTCACCTCAAGCATGTCGGGTGCCTGCCAAGCATCTCCTTCGTCCCTCCCCCCCCCCAAGCGCCAAAAGCGCCTCTCCGGCCGTAACACAACGCTAAACAGCAATTGCCTGGAACTGCCACTGGACTCCGCCTAAATTGCGCCCGTTTCCTCGCCGGCAACAGCAATGAGAGTCTGAGACTGGCAGCTTGATATCGATCATATGCTGCAGCCCGAAAACATATTTGAGTCTCTATAGTCTCGTCTCTCTTTTTTACCACGTCAAAGTCAGATTGAGGGTTCGGCGAGAAGGAGGAGATCATCGCGACTCGGTCCCGGATTTGAGCCATGTCGTCCGCTGCCGCCGTGATGAGGATGAGGATGGGGATGGGGATGGGGATGAGGATGAGGAGTTCGATTTTCACCACTCCAAGCTCATCGACAGTGCGGGTGATGAGAGGGAAGCGCAGTCTTGTCCTTGCTCACCACCAACCGCCACCTTCACTCTGCAACGATCTCGACCAGGGCCGCATCTCCCGCCGCAGCATCTCCAGCTCCTCTCCACGACGACTGGAAAATATCGATTTGAAGGAACTCGAGCGATTGACAAAAGAAGCTGAAGAACGGCTAAAGCAATATGAGGAGCCACTCAAGAGAACCACCCCATTGCACATGTCGATTGCCGAGTGCCTCCGGTGGGAGCCAGAATCGGAGGAGGACAATGTGGTGGTCCAAGGCTACGTCCGGTCCGTTCGGGGCATGAAAACCCACCGCTTTGTTTCTCTCGGCGACGGGTCCTCGCTGGCTCCTCTGCAGGCCGTTGTCCCCGTCGACACCAACCAGGCCGAAGGGTGCGATGACTACCTCCACTACCTCCCGTGCAATATCTCCGAGCTTCGTTATGCGTGTCTCGGATACCAAAAGTGCAGCATCAAATACTGACTCGGTCTCGTTTCCGCAGCCTGGCCATCGGTGCTGCTGTCCGTCTCACTGGCAAATGGGTCCCCTCGCCTGGCGCGTCCCAGTCCCACGAAATGCAAGTCACCCAGGTCGACATCCTGGGCCCATCCGACGCAAAGGTCAGTCAGTTTGCCTAGTAACATGCCGCCCTGCTCTGTCTGTCTCTGACACACCACCGCACATCAAGACGTTTCCCATCCAAAAGAAATATCAGACACCAGAGTACCTCCGCACAATTCCCCACTTGCGGCCGAGGACGCCCATCAATGCTGCCTTGCTGAAAATGCGCTCTGAAGCGGTCGCGGCCCTGACTCGGTTTTTTGCCGAGAACCACTTCACCCAAACACATCCGCCCATCCTCACTTCGTCAGATTGCGAAGGTGCCGGAGAAGTGTTTACTGTGGCTCCGGCGTCCAACGTCACCGAGCTTTCCTCCAACGAGGACAACAAGAGCAAGATGTTCTTTCGCAACAAAAAGTATCTCACCGTGTCTACTCAGCTTCATCTCGAGGCCTTGGCTCAGTCTGTCGGTAACGTCTGGACCCTTTCTCCTGTTTTCCGCGCCGAAAAGAGCGATACTGCCCGTCATCTCAGCGAATTTTACATGCTCGAGGCCGAGATGAGCTTTGTCAATGACCTCGACGAGGTCATGGACCTTGCAGAGGACATGATCCGTAACATGTGCATTACCATGTACGAATCGCCTACAGTCTATGAGTTTCTTAACCGCGAGGGTCGCGTCGGTTCCGACCTCGTTTCTCCCGAGGAGGTGAGGGCTCGGTGGGAGGGCATGATGGCGGATGAGTGGCCGCGTATAACTTACACGGATGCTATCGAGTTTCTACAAGAGCATGCCGACGAGTTCGAACATAAGCCCGTCTGGACTGAAGGCCTGCATTCGGAGCACGAAAAGTTCATTGCCGAACACGTTGGAGACGGAAAGCCTGTCTTCGTCACCGACTATCCTCGCGACATCAAGGCCTTCTATATGCGTGAAGGCCAGTCACTCCCAGATATTTCCTCCCCGGGTCCGACGGTCGAGTGTTTCGACTTGTTGGTGCCCGACCTCTGCGAGATTGCCGGCGGATCCATGCGTGAACACCGTCTGGAGCCGTTGTTGGAGGCCATGAAGCGTCACAACATCGTTGCTGGAGAGTTCACCAGCTCTATGGATGGCAATGCTCCCTCCGAGGCGAGAACCGGCCCTCTTGATTGGTATGTCGACCTTCGCCGTTGGGGCTGCGCTCCACATGGCGGCTTTGGAATCGGCTTTGATCGACTCCTCTGCTACTTGACTGGCGTCCAGACGATTCGAGACATGGTTTCTTTCCCTCGCTGGTTTGGCCGATGTGATTGTTAAGGAAGATTCGCCTTTCAGAAGAGGGCAATGTTCCCGGTGTTTGCTTCGGTGGCGCCTTTGTGCGACGACTTGCACCAGGGCACGCTGCTCGTCAAGGCTTGCCTAGCTTTGATGCGGGGTATAACACCTTGGTGACACGAAGCTATGGGGCGATTCTTTTTGGACGAGATCTAGCCCACACCGCTCCATGAAATCGCAAATGCACACGAGGGAGGGCGCGCACCGATTGTCTCTCTCATCCATGAGGGGGCGGCAGAGGCGGCGTCAAGACACCCCATACCTCGCGTGAGAGAGAAGTCGGTGTTGACAGATTGATCTGGCACCATACCTGAGAATTTTGTAATACCTTGTGCGCGATTTACGGCCTTATCATGTTTCCCAGAGAGGCCAACCTCAGATCTGAGCGCGGCTAGGCGCATTTTATACCCATACAGTCATTTCGATATCCGCGACAAACGTCGATCTGACCAGCTCCATAGCAGGACCCAAATCCCAACTCCACTACCTTTACGTGACTGGCGCGGAATAATGAAGTTCCTCCTTCTGACATGAAGTCCATTGTTTCCGGTTTGTTAGCGCCACTACCTCTGCGTGAGGAGAATGCGCTCTGGTTTGTCAGTATCGAGGAATGGACAAACAAACACATGGTGGAAGGGGCATCGGCAGGTCATTCGCAAAATACATACACACAGATCAGCCAATGTCCAAGCTATCATTGCGCTCAAACAGGTGCTCGATTTCAACATGCCGTGATGTGCCATTTGGATGGCGGTGACGGCAAGTCGAGCTACCGCGCCATCACTATACCCTGGGATGAAACATTGAAAACCGTTTCATGAAGACGACGTGAACTCTGTCATGGAAGACCCTTGCCAATCCACTCCTATTACCGCGACTAATTGCGACTCCTAATACGCCGCCATGTCTTCGTTTCATCCCCAACATGAATTTCGATGGCTGAAGTTTGTACGCCAAGTGGCAGCGACAACGTTCAGTTCGCACATGGGAACTTGTTGATGACCGATTCTCGTGGAAAATTCCATTTGACAATGTTTTGCATGATCTCTTCTTGCCTGATGCTGGCCCATTTGCCTCCCTGGCCTCTCAACGGCCTGTTGGGTCCTGAGCTCAGATCTACATTGGGAAACATCACTCATCCATTCCCTTTTACCAACGCTACCCAAGAGGTATCGTCACCTTGAAACAGCCGGGCGAGGGGAGCTGAGAGCACATGATTTCCATCGGCGGGACCTGTCACCACCTGATCCTCCTTCAGATCAAGAAGACAGGGAAATCACAAGTGCCGCTGGCATTGGAAATCAATCGAAACGGAAAGCAGGAAATCCATTCGCACCTTCCCTAAATGCTCCTTAGTCTAAGCAGATGATGGGATTGATGGACGACGTTGGTTCTTCAAGTGGAAGGAACCAAGGCACCAACTTGACGGTCAGTCCACATAGACAGATCACGCAATTCCGGGTCCATCAAGATGCCCTCTGTACCTTCCTTACTCAATGCCGTCAACATCCGAGATGAGATTGGTGCAGGTTTGCTTTTGCCAACGGAAGGAACAATGCCATTTAGAGTTCCCACTTCAGTCACAATCCTGCTTCCTCCGTCATTGTCCTCCTTCTTGGTCAAATCCTGTGAGTTCTTGCTGGCACGAACGCAGGTACTCGCAACCTCTCACCTTGCCCGCTACATCACGACATGACATGACTATCAGAGATACCTCGCTCTACACCTACACTAAGGCATATGAACCCTCAATATACATATTTCTTCAAGTGGCAGACCAAAAAATTCTTGTCACCTTTACCAATGCTACGCACAGGTTGTCCGCTCTCATCGGCCAGCCAGCCAGCCAGCCAGCCATTCCAGTTTTACCCCGATCAAGCGAGCGGGAATCACTACCGGCAGCGAAGGCGCATTGTGGCTTCTTTTTGGCTCGCCAATCCCATCCAATGCTACCCTAAGGGAGCCCTGCACGCCGACGACACATGAAAGGGTCTAGGTATGACCTAGCACGGCATGGCATGGTCCTAGTTTTAGCCAGCGACTGAGCGGGAAGGTCAGTATGTAGATGAACCTTATCCGGGCGAGATCCAGCAGGCAAGCTAGGTACTCAGCAGGCTGCCATGAGGTTGCCATGGAATTGCCACGAGGATGCCATGAGCATACCAAAAAAAGAGGCGGATGGGACTTGAGCCTGTTGGTGGCATTCTTTGGGCTTATCACTGCCAGTGATGGTTGGTGTGGTGATCAATGGTGAGTGAGTGTGATTACTCCCTCTAATTCTAATGGTCTTCTCAGGTTGATTCGGTTGCCCTAATTTTACTTGGCTTGCTTGGGATCGCTTGGCTGCTGCCATGGTCAGACGATGTTCAACAGTGTTGCTTCTTGGTCCCTTGATTGCATTTGTCAGCTGGTCAACTAAGCACATTACGGATACATCGTCGTCATCTTTGGATGGCCAAGAAGGTGGGTGTATATGCCCCGACCCAGCTACGTTCGCTACCATTACCGTTCTCCCTTTACTCTATCTGAATGGTACCGCAACACACATGATGCGAACAAGTGAACATAGCGGATGAGTCGGATACGCACGGCATATATAAGGTTTCGCTGTCATTTGCCTTGTTGCATTGGTGGTAACGGTGGTTCTCGAATGATACGTCTTGCTAGTCATGGACTGATACCTCTTGACAGATTGAGCGCTTGCCAAGTGCCGGTAACAGTCATCCCTGCCGATCTCAAGGCCACGAAACTCCGAGTGACAACAAATTTGTTTGGACAGAGGTACGGGGTTGAAACAAGACGACCAGCCGAAACCTCCTACGGAGATGCGCCGATCGCCAGATTGAAGGATCCCGGCCAAGCCCGGTCGACGCCGTAAGCTCAAGACGGCGCAACAACGGTCCAGTCTGGCCAAACTTCGGCCAAGAACGGCCGAGACGCTCCAGGCTCCCAGCCCGATACACAACACCTCTCGGCGGGGTGTCTTTATGGTCTCACCAACACGACGCGGGTGCTGTTACCGTTACCGTCACATCAACGTCCCGTCTCGTTTCTGTTTCCATGTGTCAAACCTCCCCGGTCCATGACAAACTCATAAATGTCGAAATCGCGGCAGGTAGATAGGTTGGGATTAAGTTTATCCCCGGACGATCCTACGTACCGTTGATAGTTTATCGTAGTACCTGCACTAGCCAACAGGCGGCCTCACGCCGGTGAAGAACTCTCGAAGGCAGCTGACCGTCAAGATTGTTCTTTCGACGGGCCTAATGAAATTCGATTTGCAATCTCAATGCATACCCATTTTTAGCAGTGGAGGAGCAGTTAGTTGATTGCTAAGCTGCCTGCGAACGGTGAGATCTCCTTCCCTTTGCGGCATAGCTCCTCACGGATATTATCAGGAGAACAGCAAATCGGGCAACTCGATGCCTTACACTATTGGGTCTGGGGGGGTTCATGGTGGCCACCTGGGCAGCGAGCGAGGGACTGGAAGCGGGAACTCGGATGTGCGCGGTAAGAATTTAACCTTACTTTGACAACCTGGCATGGGGCATGGGACGGGATGCCGATCGGCGGCGGCCTTGATGGGTGGGAAGTTCCTTTTCCATTGCACCTGCAGTTCTAATTCTTTTGGCTCACCGGTTGATCTCCTTTTCTTACGGGGATATTTCCAGGCTCCCGTCATTAGGTACCTCTAGGCATTCTTCTCATGACTGCTTGAGAGCGTTGCTGATGCTTTTTCTCTACATACATAGCCCAGAACATCGTCAACCTGAAGAAAGACTCGACTGGAGTCTTCAGCGACACGTATGTAGCGAGTGAGCGAGCGTTGGGACGGGGTGTCGGCGCAGCGTTGGTGATCGTCCCGCCAAGTAAAGCCCAAGAAACGCTAATGTCGTTGGCGTCCGATGATGTTTCGTTTTTTTCATCCTGTCTCATTTCTATTTTGTCACCAAAAATACCTTATTTAGGATCAGCCATCATCAGTATTCCCGAGGGAGTGCACGTATTATTTATTACACTAGAAAAGTTCTCTGCAGTACAACATACCGTCGGTCATTACACTACATACATTCCACACCCGCCCGGGCAGTCTTCAAGTCTAGGCGGCATTAAGCAGGGCACAGCAGGGCACCCACCACTGTTACTTCAATTCGCCTCGGAATGTTATGTATCCTAGAGGTACTTATCCCAAAAGATGTATTCCTTGCGAAGCTCTCTCTTCGGTTCTGATTCGGAATTTTGGACGAAAACTTTTTTTTTCATGTCCAAATCCACACAGACTCGAAAAAATTGGATCGTCAAAGCAGGAATAATGCCTGCTCTCTGTATCAGATGTACCATTTGGTACCGCATTCATCTTCACAAGAATCTTAAACGCGTATAGAAATGTAGTGTATAGTACCCATGGAAATAAAAGTCGGGCCTTGGTCCAATTTGGCGAAGAAAAATTCCAGACTGTATCTTACCTACCTATGCCCAGACATTTTCGCTTCAGACGCCTACACCATCCATCCATCCCTTCGATAGCGGAGCTTGACTAACGAGCCTTATCATCCCATTCCAAATATCCAAGAAAGCCAAGCAGAAGCCAAGCAAGAAGCCACTCAACCGATGACGAAGCCTCATTCATCGTTCGTACTCGTCCGTGGCTTCTTGCCATGCATGTCAGCCAAGAACGGCTCCTCACCACTATCATTCATTGTATGCATTGTGTTATCTGCTGAGTGGCTTGGCCGTGCGAGCCATACCAGAGCTCAAGAGCTCGTTTGACTCGTTACCACAACAAGAACAAGCAAGTGCGGGCAGGCTTGCGCGTAGGCTTTGTTGGTCTTCCCAAGCGGCTTCAAGTGAACTAAGAAACGATGGACCAGCCAGCCAACGAACCAACCGTCTAGGTAGCTGTTCCAACCAACAAACGAACTGATATGAGCCACCCAACCAACCGTGAGAAATATCGATGAATGAGCCTCAATAGAGGGAGTCCCACGAGTCATGATTAAACCCGAGTCCGAGCGGAGATTCGAAACATTCCAACCTGGATACTAGTATCAACGCCGCCCGCTTACTAAACGGCGTTTTTCTTTTAAAAGCCAGCTTCGTTAGGCTTATTCTCACTCTCTCGTGCGAAGAGGCCTGTGAGTTCCGTTATTCGCCGACCCCGGATGGATGAACTGTGACTAGGTACAGTGCAGTCAGCAAGGATATGCGGTATAAACTTTATGTAAGGGAAAAAAAAAAAAAAAAAAAAAACACCTAATCGAAGACCCCGCTATAATCAATCCATCGTCGGTCGGTCGGCGGTCCATCATTCCCATATCGGGCAACTGCTGAACACTGACACTTGAAAGCTTTAGCTCCCGCTACGTATGTACTGTGGGAGGTCAAAATAAGCTCAAGCGTGCAGTGCCGTACCTACAATTCAGGGCGGTTGCGAAAATTACCGGGTTGCAGTATTGATGTTTTGTACTGGCGTGTATTGAGCATATGCCGATCACCCGATCTACATACCTTTTCAGGGTATGAAAGATACCTACCTTGGTAGGATAGGCTACCTCTAGGCTTCTAGCACCATACATTACATACCACTTTATTGTTTCAAAGAACTAGATTAGGAGTTGAATATTTACAGAACTTGCACATTTCGTAAAGATACATCCATTAAATTACGCTAAGGAGGTGCTTTTTCTTTTCCTTGGTATCGTCAACCGGGCCTTTCTGTCCCCGATTCTGGACGGGCAGGGCGGGAATCACCTCAGGGGCGACCCTGCGACTAGGGACCACGGCATGGGGGGGTTTGTAACGTTGCCGATCCGGCGCCGTCGGCTTTTTGTTACGTACCATAGCACCATACTAAACATCTGTTATAGGTAGGTAGCTACAAGTTGAACCTTCATAAAAGTTTGGGCTCCGGACTTCTAACAACATACGCTCAAGCGGTTGAAGCTGAGAAAGTGAGTGATGTGAGTAAGGGGCAATAATAGGCTTTTTTTTTTTTTCATTCTGCATATAGTATCCGAAGCAAAAGTGCCGGTAAGTTTGACAGCTCCAGCGATGCAAGAGTTGGCATGGCAAGGCGAGATTCTGCCATGTGCTCGATGTTCCTCATCACAACAAAAGTGTAGGTAGCTTACTTTATATGGCAGCTGCAGTTTGCACTTTGCATTTCGCAGGCAACTTACGTAACAGAAGCAGAACTACCTAGGCAGGCGTGAAAGTTTGCATTTGGAGCTTTCCACTTTTCCTTCTTCTTTTTTTTCATCGATGCACTTCTTCGCCTCTCTTTTGAAGCCGGGAAGCTTCTTATAGAAGGTGCTATCATAAGTTTCTGCACAGTTCCTGTTGCCAGATCGGTGTCGGTACTGTACATAGGTAGGTGCCTGCAGTGGTCATGAACAAGCCATCTACAACTGATAAAAACCAATCTCAATCTTCGGCTCGTCTGACCACCACCGTAGCTTTATCTCTGGCTCAGCAGCGGACAAGGCACCAATGATAATCCATTGCAACGGTAGGTTGGACAGGCAGGTTCAAAAGTTCGACGCTGACAGCGACCTCTTGTTCCATTAATCTGTTAAATTTCGGGAATACCGCGGACGAGCAACACCTCGCTACCATAAAACCGTGCGGTACTGATATTGGTGTGCGATAAGTTCGCCTCATCTCGCTCGCTCGTTTTTCCCCTTCTCGAATGTTTTGGGGCATCGGATGATTATTACCGACTTATAGTGTGTATGTAGTTCTTGCACTTCTGATGATCGCTTACGATGGCCATTTTAACATACCTTAGCTACCAGAATATATACAACAGAAGAACTGTAATGTACCGCGACGTCTTTTACACTGGACATACCTGCACGTATGATTAACTACCGTACACTATCTTAGTTGAACGTCCTAGGGCGGCGTCGGCGGTCGCGGCGGTATGTAAAGCCACCATACTTATACGGCAGGACGTGTAAATAAGGTTCGTTGTGTGTTGGCGCGCGTATCGCAATCGTTTCGCCTGCCTGCCTGCCTGCCTGCCTGCCTGCCTGCCTGGCATGCCGCCACCGCGCACGCAGGGCAAGCGAACCGAGGTACAATGATGACTGGCTATGGGATGATGGAAGGGAAGGTAAAGAAGGGATGAGATGAAAAACTCCACATTCCTTCTCCTGTCCATCCATTATTCTAGGTTCCAGACACCGTGAATAAAGGCCGGGCTATGACCCTTGAGTCTTTGATAGTACACGATGCCGTTACCTCGGCTTATTGTACCGAAGATTAAGAAGAGAAAAAGAATAAAAGAAAATTGGAAGCTATTTCCACACCAAAAAAAAAAAATGTGGAAACGAACGCGATGGTCCAACGGCATCCAATGTCTAGCTCATCATTTCGGCCTTGGTCGTTGGTCGGCCGGCGGCCCCACCTCCACGTCTCCCGCCCGTCGGTCGGTGGCTTTATCTCAGCTGATACTATTTCTTTTTTGACATGACATGACAGGACAGGACAGGACAGTTACGTTCCATTTATATAAAGTTACAGTTGTAGCCGTTAAAACGAATTGCCCGCTGCCTGCCTACCTGCCTGCCCATTGTCGCTAGTATCAAGATTGTGCGATGTGCGATGTGGCGATAGCGGCTACTTACTTACTTGCTTTTCCCAACTTCTGTCAATCTGTGTGCATCTAGTCAGACCGTTCTAGATTGTGATGCGTTCTATTGCCCCCTCCTTACCTCTACTTGTCTACTATGTACGAGGTGCGGTGTCCACAAGGTCGGCATCCGACGGGCTTGTTAGAAAAGTGCTTGTTACATACCTAGACTTGTTCAACGGCCAAGTACAACTGTGAGACAGGAGAGGAGAGAGAGGTCGGTCCTTCAATGTATCGCAAGCAAGGTGTGATGTTTGCACTCAAGGAAATGGATGGAACGTGTTACGTCCGAAAGGCGACATCCGATGTGTCTGAGAATGGACATGGAAGAATACTACTCTTTGTGTGTTTTGTGTATCGAGGTGGTTATATGTCGGACATTGCAAGTCTTCTTGTTCATGTGTCCCAACTTTCGTTGAAGGAAAGGATGAGAGCTTATCAACATCTCTCTGTTCCTCAGAAAGTCAGACTTACTGCTTGTCTGTGGAGATTCAACTGCCCGCGTGTGACCATCCAACAAGTGCCGGGCAATCAAACATTGATATGACGGAATAAGCTCGGCGACTTCGAACAAGGCTGCAAAAGTGATTGATGCGGTTGTAGTGCGAAACAGGATAGCCGCCTGATCGCCTATTTTGTACGACACACTGACCCCAGCAGAGTGAGATGATGAGATCTGGTCAAAAGGAGTCCATCATTGGGGGGGAAGGAAGACCATTCATCAACCATGCCGTATGACATGGGACGCCACCCACCCAACCACGGAGCGTGAAGCGTGAAGCGATGTTCTGGCTGAAAATGTCATGTTCGAATGAGCGACGCCACGGCTCGCTTTCGATTGGTCATTTTCAAAGTCAGAGTCCGAGCCTGCAAGTCAGAGGGAACAGAAGGAACAGAAGGGGGCATGAACCGGGTGGTGCGCCGCATTATCGCGTCTTTGTTAACCTTATTCAGACGACTGTGACCGGGCCTTGGCTGGTCTCATGTCTGAGCCGCTTTTGTGTGGCAAGTCTGCACGAGGTGAGAAAACTGCTTGCACTTTGCACTTGTGCATATCGTTGCGAGTACTGTAGGTGACCCTTTCTGGAATAGCTGACCTAACCACTAAACCCCAAGTGATGGGAGGTGTACAGACACAGGGCAGGCAGCACAGATGCCAGTGTGCTCCGTGACAGGTAGCGAGGTGATCATGTCGGTATTGTAGCATATAGTCAGCGCCACGCATGGGCTTCACCCTCCCACATGGGCAACGAAATGAAGCCATTGGGTTCCAGTGTGACGGATAGCTCCAATCACTGAAGCTGAGGTCATCACTCAACTCGTTGAAAGAACCATGCAGACTCATCTCGACAGGTTCAAAAGTGCAAGTGCTGTGCCGAGTCAGCCGTGGTGGCCATCGACTGCTCTGGATATCAATTTCTTCAAAGGTTTGGTCTTGATGTCGTTGGAAATTGGAAAAATTCCGTGTGACCAGTATGACCTCGGCAGACTGCTGTCATGTCAGAGCATGATGCGGTGCGATGATGGCCGATGTTTGCTGTGAGATTAGTGTGTGGAACAATGGGCGCGATGCTGCGTCTTGGTGTTGCCGCCGTCAGATGGCTGATTCGGCGCTGTCCTGGAGCTATGAAGTGAAAGCCCCGAACTCGCCGTCTGTCTCTCTAATGAGCGACAGAAATGCCGTCATGCCGTCACAATTAGTGTAGAGGCCGCTATCGGGACAATCGGACGCTCGGATCCGTGGGTACCTGACTTGCTAGTACGGGCAGGATGGCCAATGAAGATGGTGACATTGACGCTTAAAATCATGCTTAACCAGACTCCTCTTCTTGGCCGATTCTTGGTAAGGTCTGTTGGTGTAGTGTATCGTATGTATGGTACGGTAACGGGTAGCAGAATTACATGTACTAAACTTGGTACCTCCGAGTCGGTCGTTGTCGTCGTCGTCACCTTCCAGTTGTGTGTACACGTACCTGATTGACACGGAATAGTGGATACCTCTCTGTTTCTCGGCCTTGCGGCTCGGGCTATCGCAAAACAACACGTTGAATGTTTCGCGTTGTTCAAGGGGCTGAATCGGCCGAGCTGGAGGCACAGAGTGGGCATTCTTGGGGAAGCGGAGCAAAATCTGTTTTTTTTCTGTTGCTCTCATGACAGCCTTGAGCCCTGGACCGAGTCCCACCTTCCCCTTCCAACTGCCGCCAAGTTCCGTTCAGAACCGCCAAGCTTTTCTACATGCAGTCTGTGGATTCGCCAAGAAATGGAGAGTCCACTCTTTGCAACTGACACAATGGGAAGTGCGACTCCACAAAGTTAACGTTTAATTCAGCATTTTGTGATTTTCCACGGAAGGAAGGGACCTTCTTATATACAGGTACTCCCACAAGTACACCCATCATCAATGACAACGACAACACAAGGCCGGGGCACGCGGATCAACAGATGACAAAAAAACAAAGTTGCGCGAAACACAAAATGATATTCACCGATGATTTCTCCCAAAAACGTCAACACTGACCGACAAGACAGTTTCAGTGGAGACCACGCCGGTCGGGACGGTGTAGCAGTTAGTACCTACGAGGAAGAGTAGTGTACGTACCCGACAAAACTAAAGTATTTCAACTGAAGCACGGACGTTCAACATGGTCCTGCCCTGGGGCGCCGTGTAGAGAATTGCTTTTCACTCTTCTCTTTTCCATATTGTGGATTAATCAATCCCCGAACATTCCGCACGTATTCCACGGGTACGTAGTATTCCACGGGTACCTCGATGGTCTTGTGGTCGTATCACTCTCGCTTCTTCGGCTCCCGACATTCCACTTGCCGTCACCGTCTCCAACTTCCAAACACACGGCCGAAGGAAAAGGAAAGGGTCAGTTCCCAGGAGATTGTGGCCGGGAATCTGCATTGCTCGCTACACCACAGCAAAGTGGCAGATTACGCCATGACAAGAAATAAGGGGGAGGGGCACCACCACAGTCACAGTCATCAAAAAAGCAGCAAATGGCGAAACAAGTCACGAGTCGTCCCACCGAGCTTATTCCGGAGCAGCGCCAAGCCCGTCTCGACTCCTCCCTGGACCCCCGGATATTATCAGAGCACACCTTTGCGTGGTTGGCGAAGCGGGTTCGACGGGATGGACACCAGATGGGGCACTCCAAACAACCACCAAGAAATGCCCAGTCCGACCCATCCCAGGCCTTGTCAGCGTTACGTACAAGCGTTGCAAGCGTCGCAGAAAAATAAGCTTGATTTTCCGATGATATTCCCATGTCAATTCCGCCGGTGCAGGGGTCCCACTTGGTTGCACTGAAGGACGCCACTTTTTTTCTTCTTCTGCTGCTCTCTGCTGCTCGAAAAAGGCCCCTTCTCCCAACTGCTTGTTCCCTTTGTTTTGATGTTCCCTCCCCTTGCGTCCCGTCTTGTTCAGCCGAACATCACCCCTCCCCAAAGCCAAGGCTATAAGCTCCGGCCAAGCAGACCAAGCATTAGCTGGGCTCCTTGGCCGCGAATTTGGCTTTGGAAAAAGCGAGATGGATGGATTGTTCGTCAACAACAAGAGCCAACAGGAACGAACGAACGAACGGACAAACTGACTGCCCGTCCGTGTGACACCCACTTTCTCTTTCCTTGTGGGCTCGTTGGGAGAGAATCAAATATTGCTGCGGCCAAGCCAACACGGTTCGCGTTGGTTATCTCTATTGCCGATTGCGTGACTGCTGACCAGTGTTGTCGTCCTTTGACACGGGGCTCGTTGGGCAATGTACATACCATACACACTGCACGGCATACCTGCTACGAAGCGGTAGCACAACATCAAGGGAACAAGCATACCGACATGGTTGAGGGTGACAGCTGTGCGATGCAAGTCAAAGAAAAGGGTGGTTGCTTGCCTGGATGACTTTGACTTGACTGACTGATGTCCGGCCCAAGCAAAAAAGATCGATTACCTCTTTGATTAGGTAGGTTAAACCAACCAACAACCTAACGACCAACTTACCCTACCAACAAACTCTCCGGTTATTCGCCTGTTGCACTTTGTGTGCCATCATCATGTGTCTATCCATCTGGCCATCGATCCCGTCCATACACCAGGATACTTGTACAGCATACGGCATGTAAAGTGAAAGCCTGCTGCGAGGCGCTGACTGACGGGAGATCACCACCAACTGCTGCCACCACAGGGCAGGGCACAGGGAGCGCGGGCAACAAGCGTCTACTATAGTATGTAAGCGGGCTGCAGAGCGGATGTAATGTTGCCCCAACGTACAGACAAATGTGGTGTAGCTTGCAGCGCGGGAGTTCAAGTACCGACCCCTGATTTTGATTATATTTTGAACGTGACTGGGGGGCGATCTCGTTGGTAATCAACTAACGATACATAGCTCATTCAGTTGGGGAGATAGGCTTGTTGGCTAATGGCTTGGAAATAAACTACACGTTACCAACTGCCCGATTCTGGATAGCGCTGGTTTTGTTTCGTTGAGGCTGTGATGGTGCTAACGCGGAGGTTTAGCTGGGGATACTAGTTTAGATAACAAATTTTGTTGGTTGACGAGACGGTAACTGACTGAAATAAATATTGACGTTGTATCTACTGCGTAAACTGTGAGGTAATCATGGAAATGTTTGAGGCCGGTCTTTCTTTCTTTCCTTCCTTCGGCTTAATGTCCGCCGAAGGATGTTACTACAGTATTATCTATCGTAAGCCCAGTATGGTGGCTGCCTGCGTGGAAATAACAGCCAGAGGTGCCGCGTTTGCTTCAGTGATGGTATGCTGCAGTGTACCTAAGTTCGTCAGCAGGCAATATCAATGTCAGGCTCCAGGGCTTCGCTTCAGTGAATTGCAGGCGCTGGTGAACAACGGATGGAAAGCCGGCAGCTACATAGGCCCACTTTCAGCCGCCACCCCCATCCATCCATCCCATCATCATCTCCAACCGCAACTCAACCGTCACCTTTAAAAAAAAACCTTGAGCTTGCGTCAACCTCAACGCACAAACGCACAAACGCAAGCGACCGGGCACCCGACCCGGCGGGGTTTTGGAATAGCAGAACATCTCAGGTCGCTATCTTGAGAATTGCGCCTTTAAGACTTTGAGTTTATGGAGGCAGCAGACCAGTAGCTGAGTAGCTTTGAGGAATTACAGCAGTTACAGCCTTTCGTTCATCCCATGTATCAAAAATACCAAAGATACACACGTACATTCACCACGCCGCCTTGCATCGTCTAACAAACAGAAACACAACCAGAACCTTGAAGAAAGCTTGACTTTTGACTTTTGGCCACCCCCGTCAGTACCGTAGCTCCCTGAAGACACGATGAAGGGAGAAGATAATAAAGATAAATAAATAAAAAAAATTGGGAAAAAAAGGGTACCTTCAGGGTACCTTGCTCTTCCATGAAGCCTCCCTCCCTCCGTTTCCCACATTCCGAGACATGCGCCATTGGCTGGCGTCGTCATCGACCTGCAGCCGATCCCCCAACCAGTCCGCCAAGCGGCTCGACAAGTCGCAAGCTAAAATGTTTTATTTCCACTTTCAACACTTGGCTTTCTGAAAGACTGGGGACCTGGCCCCAACTGAGAAGAGCCAACGCAACCAACAAAGTGTCCGAACCTCTCCGTCTGAACCGAGCGTCACAGGTTGAACCCAGTTCGTTGGTTGCTGCGACCGGCGGGAACGAGTCACTAATGAGTGACTGACAGTCTGCAATCTGGAACCTTCGTTTTCCTGCTGCAACGACTGAGCATTCACTGCCTGAAAGACGAGCAGCAGCCAACTCTAAATCTCCCGAGACCAACCAGCGACTAGAACTAGGTAGCCACCGCTTTCGCCTCCCTTCAACAATCTGACAATCCTCTCTTTTCACTATTCCTGGGAATCTCACGTCGCCAATCTCGAGTCGCTTCTATAGACCACGTTTATTTGAAATTAACATTGTCTCGGCGCAAAACAGCAACAGCACTAACCACCGTTGACTACGACTACCCGTTTGGAAAGTTTCCGAGGGTTCAAGATACTTCGTTGTGAGTTTTCCCATGACTCGCCAGCCACAGGCAGCAGTCGGGAAAAGGGAACATCAAGTGGAGGCCACTCAACAACCTCGGACACCGTAACCTCGATCTCTTCGCAGCAATTTACGATCGAGAAAATCTGCAGGTACCTGAGCTCTTCCTTATTATTTCCACCTCGATCCTGCCCCATCACACCCCTTCTTCACCGTAATTCCGAATCTTAGCCGAGGGGCTATTCCCGTCAAATCCGCCCGGCATTGCTACACTATTGTAGAGCAGTATGACGGATGACAGGACACCTCTACAAATGGGCAGTGGACGACCTTACACATCACAGCCACAACATGGCATGGCAGGACAGGCACCTGTAAAAATCCAAACAGAGTTGCCTTTACTTGAACACATGTTACTCGCAAGCTCACTATCCATTCGAGATGACTTGCCGGTGGTCGGTGTCATATGGTGCTACGGAGTACCTCACATGGGTGGTCCACAGTCCCTTCAAGGATGGCCATCTGAGCTTGTCATGCGGAACCCCGTGAAGGTGGTAATGCCTTACGCCGCCTCGACGGTCGAAACGCTCAAGCCCACACGCACGCACACCACTGCACTAGATTTAAGCTTCTTTTCACTTGCAACGTAAAATTCACAATCGATTTAAAAAGAAAAAAAGAAAAAAAGAAACACTAACCTTGACGATTTGCCAAGAACAGGTGTCCTGTCCCCCACCCCCAAGGGTGTCGAAACGTCTCAGATTACACCAATAGTCAAGTTTACCACTTTACAAAACAATACACGCTCAAAACAGAACTCGCCAAACAGCCGCCTCGACTCCCGAGATATCACGACTGGGATCGATCCCCACAGCCAAGATTTCCGGTGGACCTTTTTGGGTTGCCGCCCAAGTCAAGACCATCCATCATCTTTTGGTATTCGACGCTGGGGCCTTAAATCCGGATCCTGGCTGGACGAAACTTAATCTGTCCGAGATCCGTTTGTTGCCGCGGTGGAGCTTTATCGTATTAGCTCATTCAACCTTGGGCTTGCTCGCTTTAAATATCGACAGGCTCCCACCGCTATCCACCCTGACAAACATACTTTCTAGACTTAGGCTGATCACATAACCGCCGCGTCGCCCCAAAATGTCGCGCCATCATCCGAATATGTCCATGGAAACTTATTACGGGAGCGTCCGTACAACCGCCGACGCCATCAAGCTGTTCGAGGCCTGTCGAGTAGGCACCCTGCCCCGAGTACAACGCCGGTTATCCGAGAAAGAGCGTCAGGCCATTCGACCGGGCTCGGTCTTTGTCTGGGATGAGAGGGAAGCCGGCATGCGGAGATGGACCGATGGAAAGTCATGGAGCGCCAGCCGTGTATCCGGGAGTTTCCTTACCTACCGGGAGATGGAGGGAAAGAGGGCAGGATTCGGTGGCAGGAGGAACGCAGGGAGGACTCCAGACTCGGCCCGCGCTAGTGACGAGGACCGGGGCTCGGACGATCACCACGAAGGCTACAGGTACAAGGCGGACGGGCTCATGAAGCAGTCATTCAGCATCACCACCTCTCACGGCCAACACCTCCACCTCATCTCCTACTATGCCCGGGACGGCCGGGGTCCAGCCAACCTGCCCGATCCCTCGAGTGATCCAGCCCTCAGGCACGTTACCATTCCCAAGGGCATCTACCCCGAGTCCAGTGTTAGCGAATCCTCGGTGCCGGTGACGACGAGAGGTCCCATGCAGCGACACTCGCCATATTCGCATCCAAGGAACCCTCCGCCCCCGTATCATCAGCCCTACGACCCCAATGTTCATGCCCCTCCGCCCGGCCCTGGCTATTGGGGGCCCATCTCTCCGGTCGCGACACCTCCTTACAACGGCCATCCCGCCCCGTACCCCCCAGGACCGCCATATCATCCCGACGGTCTTCCTCCACACGCGCCACCGCATTATGCTCACCACCCCCAAAACTTCTCTCCTCCTCAACACCACATGGCCGCCCTGCCTCCTCCACCAGCCGGTAAGCCCGGCATCCAGCTCCCGCAACCGCAGCCATATCCGCATCAGCATGCCGTTCAAGCTCCTTATCCGCCGCCGCTATCTCAACCCCCGCCACCGGCTTACCACTATCTCCATCAACGACAACAACAGCCGCCGCCACCCCCTCAGCAGCAACAACAACCACCTTACCACCACCAAGGCCCACCCCATCCGAGCCAACAACAACCCATGCACCATCATCATCAAGGACCGCCACCTCCTCACCACCACTTCCCCTCCCCTCAACTACCATCCGACGCTCAACACCCCGAGCATCAACCACAGCAACACCAACACCAACAACCACAACAACAACACCCGAGAATCGCACCCATCGACTCCCCAAAGTCTCAACAACTAATGGCCGCCGCCCGCGAGACACTCAACCTCGATTTCCGTCTAGCCCACAGCGCAGGCGGTAGTATCCTCCCCCCTCCGCAACAACAACAACAGCAGCAGCAGCAGCAGCAGCAGAACGCAACCAGCAACGGTACGCCCTTTTCCGGACCAGGATCTGTCCCCACCCCTCCTCTGCAACCAACCACTTCCAACGGCATGTCATCCCCTCGTCATCATCATCATCAGGAGGGAGGAGCGCCGAGTCTGAAGCCTGTATTGTCGCCGTTGACTTTACACCCTCCGTTGGCTGCACCATCACCACAGAAACAACAGCAACAGCAACAAAACGGACACACCACCACCAGCCCCATCATTTCTGCAAGTACTAGACCTAGTCTAAGCGCTATTTTGCTTCCGCCGCCGAATCCGACGAATCCGAATGGCGTTGGTGTTGGTGTTGGTGTCAAGACGGAATCATCATCATTGTCGAATGGGGGGGCTACGCCTGCTTGTGCGAGTAATGGTGGAAGGAGTCCACTGGGGAGTCCTCGTGGGCTGGGTGTTCCGCCGCCGCCGCCGCCGCATGGGCTTGGGCTTGGGCACGGTGGATTGGCTGCGGCGCCGGATGATAAGGCTTATGAAGCTTTGAAGGCGCTGAATAGGAATTTGTGCACTTAGGCGCCACTTTCAAAGAGGGATGTGCACACGCAAGGCAAGGGCTGATCTTGTGGGGGGGTTGTGCTAGGGTATGCATGCATCCGGCACGTTCCGTTCGATTTTGATTCTGCGTTTTTTACCAATGGTTCAAATAGCAATAGGAACATGGGAAGGGGGTCTGGAGTATTTGGTGTTTATTTCTTTCTTTCTTTCTTTCTTTGTTTTCCTATCAGGATCCATTCATCATCATATTTCAGGATCCGGTGGTTCCGTTATTAAGGGTTTCTTTTTGCGGTTCATCTTTTCTTTCAAGATCAAAAGGTTCCATGGTCATTCGGCAAAGGAAAGGGGAAGGGGAAGGCGTTATTAGGGCAAATACTAGCATTTATCGCTTCGACGCTTTGCACAATCATGGGAGTTTGCGGTCATTGTCTGTTTGTTTGTTTTTGTTCTCTTTAGTTCTCTTTTTTTGGTTTGGTCTCGTTTGGTTTGGTTCATCATAGGAAAGGACACTGCATTTTTTTCCAACAAACGTTCAAGAAGGGAGGGAAGTCTCATTGGAGAGAGGGAGTGCGCGTGCGCTCTGCTGCTGCTGTTAAAGTCGATCGGACCGAGAGGAAACTTTGGTCAGACCTGAAACCGAGAGACGGACGGACTCCCCTTTTCAATGCATAACATATCTCTGGGAGATATTTCAGGAGCGTGAATGTCGATGGCATCGATCGGAAGAAGGACGACCAAAGAGCAAGAGAGCTAGAATAGTGCCCGGTAGTCGGTCATCAATCAATCAGTCAATAGTATCTATCAGCTGCCTCCGTCTCAAACATCAGTGCCAATTTCGGTGATAGTGACACTTATCAGTGGACTTCATACTTGCATCTTCCGGCTATTGGACTTTTTGTTTTGAGTAATTTTATGCTATCCAGTGCACTCCTCCGGACCATCTTTTTCAAGCTCTCATTAGTTCTCGCTGTCTTGAAAAATTCGTTGGCAGTAACACAGAAGCCTGGCACTAGGTAGCTAGCTAGGTAGGTTTGCTGCTCGCTCTCCGAGACAACAGTAAGAAGTGGAAAGAGGGAAGAAGAGGTTCTCGCCAGTGAAATTCCCATCACTTAGTGAGTAGACACGTATTATTAGGTATGATTGGAATTGGAATCGCCCCAGTCGACTGACTTGACGAATACCTACCCTAGCCGGTCAACTCAGTTCGCGGTGGTAAAAAGGGAGATCGTGACCCCCGCCATTCAGGGGCGATCATATCAAGTCATGTCATGTCATATCATATCATGCGATTTCAAGGAACAGCTACCCTAGGTACAACTGATCTCCGCTACTCACTTTGACACCGAGCTTCCAGTTCTGGTCTCTCTTCTCTGCCAGTCCCATTGATGGCACCCGACACGTACTTACCAAAAGGTATCTTCCTTCCCGCAAAAAAACCTCAACCAGATTTCGCTTCTGGTGCGTTGAGTTCAAATTCCTCCAGTCCTTACCCCGTCCCCAAGGAAGGGAACCTATCCTCAAGTCAACCTATACAACTCACCTCCCTTCACTCAGGTCTCCCACCTTTCCACTCGCTTCTTCTCTCTCCTTTTCTTCACCTTTCATTTCCACATATCGTATTAAGCCTGCTGGACCGTGCTCGAACTCAACCCAGGATTTTGTCCCTGCGCAGTATTACCTTCGTATCATGCGGCGGTACACTCTCGGTCTCTTTGCGTTGTATTGTACCGACGTTGCGGAGTTGAGTTGAGTTGCGTTCAGGTGGTTGTGTTGTCGTTGTCGTTGATGGATGTTTACCTTCGACATTCAACGGGGTTTGTTCGGTTTTAGATTTTTTTTGATGTGGCTCATCTGACTTGAAGTTAAGTTAGGCCTTGGTTGATTGAGCAGTTTCCTCCTTTCTTTCTTTTAGTTAAAAAAAAAGAAAAAGAGAAGAAGAAGAAGAAGAAGAAGAAGAAGAAGAAGAAGAAGAGGAAGAAGAAAAAGAAGAAGAAGAAGAAGAAAGGCGGCGGACAATCTGCTTCTGGGTGATGAGTAGTGTCGTCTCGCGGGGAAGAGAGAGGAATGGAAAGTATGGGATCTTTCTTGGTGAGTTCATGTCAGGCTTCCAGACTTGTTGATCCGAATCATCTTTATCCATATGATCCATCTCAGGCAATCGTGAGTATGCAGGGCGGGCCGCCGTCTTCCCTCCATCATGTGCAAGCCAGCTGAAAACCGTAGCAGAAAAAAACTCGGCAAGTTCCTTTATGGAACCTACCTGAAGGTCACCTAGGAGTCTACCTGTGTTGGAAGCTACTAGAAATTAGCACTTGGATAGCCCAGTAGCTCAAGCAGTTCCCTTTCTTTGTTCCTCTCCTATGTCCAAGAAAAACCAAAGTCCTTTGAGCCTCAATACAAAAGAATATCCACGGTGCATCCATCCATGCTGGACACAACTGTAGTGATGTGTGTGGTCCATGATGTGATAGAGACTGAGAGCAGTTGCGTCAAATAGAGTATGCCATTAGAGGTTTCTTTGGGGCTGGCTAATAAGTGCATTACCCAGAAGAAATTACACCAACCAATCAAACGGGCGTGTGGCTCAGTTGGTAGAGCGTTCGCTTAGCATACTCATCTGTATGCGAAAGGTCCTGGGTTCGATTCCCAGCTCGTCCACTTCCTTTTTTTCCCTTTTTCTGCTCTCTTAGCTTTTTTCTCTTGTCTTCTTTGTTGTTGATGCTATCAGTATATATCCTACATCATTTCCTTTTCCTTTGCTGCTAACCTTGTTTCTTATCTTCGGGATGTGGACGTACTTCTTACATTAGTAAAGGAAGGTAGAATGTCACTGTAGTTGATGTGAGGATGATAAGGTATTATGCACTCGAACTATTCACGATCGACAGTAACAAACGGGCAACAATACGGTGGTATCAAGTAAAAGGAAAAAGGAAAGACCATTGCTAGTCTCCTCTCAATTACCAATATATCAGATTTCAGATCTGGTGGAGCGCACAACATATTCGAAATGGACTCTGGTCCTTGCTCAGTAGAAGAAAACCTCGGTTACTGGTTCCATAATTCCCAGAAAGATATGCTTTGCTCGACGATACAAAGACAACATCCCTCATGCTACTGACCATGTTTCTCAATCGACACGCCGAGTTGTATTCGGTCAAGTCCTTTTCAAGTTTGTCTGCAAATTGGAAAAGGTGATCTCGTTAAGGGCTTTGATAGGTCTTCACCATGGCAAGACTCAAGCAAAAAAAAAAAAAAATTGCATCAACCGATCCCCCATAGAAAAGCCCAGCAGCCATTCAAACACATTTTATACTGCATCCCGTCCCAAGTAATCATATACACTTGATCGGAAGACGAGAAACGTGTTGATGGGTTAGCGAACGCGGAGTGTCATCATAGCACACTAGATTTCTATTTGGACCTAGAATAGAATAGTGACTGGAACGAAGAACGAGTGGCTGTTCTTGTCTCATAACAGAAACCTCATTCGGAACTCGGAAGTCTACCGGTTTTGATGTAACTTGATACTGGGAAAGATGATCATGTGCCCATAAAAGGAACTGGAGACTGACATGATAGGAAGTTAGGTGGGTTTCCAGCATAATGGGTTTTCGTGATGATAGAATTCAGATGCTAACAACGTTAGCAATCTAGGGACGAAATGCGAGGTGGTCCACCACACGGACTTTCCAGTACTTCAAACAAGCTACCTCAACCCAGTAGTGTACAGTCGAACAGCGAGGTGTACCGTAATACACAGCAGGATGATATCCCTCGATTGCTCACGATGCTAACGTGAATGATATACAAGTTTCCACATCAGATACTGAAGACAAGAGCGAAAAGAAGGGAGAAAGTCATGCACATATATGCAGATAAAAAGAGAACACCCAGTGCTTGCTCAAGCCAACATCTGAAAGAACCAAAGTCCAGAAGAAAAGGACGGCAACATGAAAAAGAAAAAGAACAAAAAAAGAGAAGGCGATTGAACGCCGGGAATTGAGCCCGACGTGGGGGTCGAACCCACAACCTTGAGATTAAGAGTCTCACGCTCTACCGATTGAGCTAGCCGGGCAGCTGAATGAACAAGCTGCCATTTGTTTGGTTTGGTTGAGGGATTTGCTTGTTCTTTTCTCTTGTATACCCCAGATGAAAGCTGTTGGAAAGAGTTTTCACTTTAAGGTTATGTGTGTGTGTGTGTGGGTGTGCGTGTGTGGATCGCGGTCTGGTCCCGTCTCTCGGTGATCGGTCGAGAGTTCGGTGTGTGTGTGTGTGGATTACACTAGGTGTGGATCATATCGGCACGCGCGCGCGGTGTGGGTGTGGGCGGGATGATGGAATTTGGAAAAGTTCCACGGATGGAATGCCGCGCCCGTTGTGCAAAGTGAGTGGGTCTTTAATCCTTTTCGTTCCGCGCGCGGTGTGGTCCATGCGATGCGGTCTGGTCTTCCGTCCGTAGGGCTGTGTTGCCTTTGCGGCAGAGCAGGGCAGTCTGGTTGGAGTGACACTTCTTTCATCCGGCAGGCAGTTCTAAGCTACCATGCGGCAGGCAAGGGAATCGTGGGGAATTGAAAGCTTCATCACCCAAAATGGAACAAGCAAAAAAGGCTTGGCAAGGGGACAAGGCCAAAGGTGGGGTTGGATGACGCTGGCGGCTGGGCCGCGGGCGGTCAGTGAAGGAATGGGGTTCGGACGCAAGTGGACTGACCGGGGACTTTTCTTACACAGATAAGATAAGAAAATGGCCCAATGACCGAATAGGGGTCCGCCTTGTTAGTGAGGGGACCTGGATGGGCAGCCAGGGCTCGGCAGGCTAGCAAGGGCATCAGATTCACGGCGGCACCCGCACGTTCGTTTGAGGAAAGGGGATGGATGTTGACCGGTCCGTGTCGCTCGTTTTTTGTGCTATTGTAATTGTTGACTATGCGCTGGGGGTGGTTGGGAAATGAATCTAAAGCAGAGATTTTGATGATACGAAATGATTCTCATTTGTGCAAATCATGCAAGGAGCCGTAGGTTGTGGTGTTTTCAAGGTGTGTAAGTCAGGTTGTGATGTTGGGTGGGTGGGTGGTAGCCTCGTGGTGCGCGGACTTGAGTCGGTTTGGAAGATGACGCGGCGTTCGTAACTAAAACTATTCAGCCCCAAACATTGGCAACCCGGAACTGAAAATCGAATAAAAGAAGCGCAGATATGAAGAGTTTATCGAGGCCGAACAGATGTGTGAGTTTTCAAAATTGGGGGTTGTGTTGAGGAGGATGTAGTGCATCTCAGATTGATGAATGTGCCGTTGCGTGATCACACGACCTCGACGCATCGCGATACCTCTCAACTTTGGACCGACTTTCTGCATTGGAAAGTGGGAATTATCAATGAGAAATATGACAGACTTCAAGTAGAGACTCATAGCAATGACCAGATATGCTTTCATCAAATTTAGACAGCTTGTTGTGGTGCGGTGTATCGAAATAGCTTGACAGTGGTCATTTCGTGGATAGCTTCACGATCGCGCGACGAACCATCACGGGTGACTTCTGACACGATCGCAGATAGCGCACCCCTTACAGCTCAGATTGCAGAAATAAAGCTGCAAAATGAACCCAAATGGCATTCTTCAAATGACAATGGCACTTTGATTTACCGAAACAGGGGTTGGTGTTGTGCTGTTACGGTTTCGCTGCAAAGTACCGGTTGCGACGAAGAGCACGACAAGATGCAAAAACACGATGCAAAAAGCGACGGCAGCGAGCATGGAGCTCCTCCAACGTCCTGACGCAAAGTGGCCATTTGCAGTCATTTTTTGCGCTAAAAAGTTTGTCAAAATCGGACCAGATAGAGGGCCAATCTCTCGCTCTTTGATTTCGGCCGGGCCGCCGCGCGAAGAAGTGAGAGAAGACGAGGAAAGCGGTTTTGAAGTCGAGAAGGGGGATCGGGGAGCTCTCGAAATCAGAGGTCAGAGTCGACGGTCGGCGATGGTGGGGTGCGCATGATGGACAACCAGAGGTACAAAGTGGATGACCTGTGGTTGGGCTGACCAATCAGAAATCTGCACTCCCTGCAAGTTTTTTGTTGCATCTGATTTAATTCGTCGCCCAAAGCGGAAAAGCGTCAAAACGGTGTGGCGGCCAGCAAAAGGGCAGAATGGCACCCCAATGGAAAGTGCCAGCGTCGTAGTCATCGAGAACCCAAGAGACATGCAGTTTGAAGAAATGTGCCACGCCAACGCTGTTCCAAACGTCGTCATGGGCCCCCCCCTACCCTCTGTGATCTGCTTCAATCCCTTTTTTCGTCGAGTGTGATGGTGTAGTGCCGGCCATGTGGTGTCGGGTGAAATGAGGAGAAAGAGTGCGCCAGCGCCAAGCTGCGAGGTGTCGCAAGCTGGGGGTGAATCCGTCCGCTTGTGTCATAGCCATAGGTAGTGAGGCGGCTGCAACAATTCAGCAAAGGCGGACTGTTCCCTGTTTCTACCTGCAAGGTCAGTAGCAGCTTAGGCGACTCGGAGTCGACTTTTTAAAAGCAGGTCCGGATCTGCTATGTATCCATTGGGATCTGTCGTTGTTGTATAAGCAATTGGGCAGCCATCCGGGGTTATGATTGAAACAGCGGAGAGTAACAATGTGCTGTCGAGTCGTCGGAAGCGTAAGGTAGTGTAGCCATGCAACGGTCCCTCCTGTTGGTTGACGTGACGTTGCTTTCTTGTTGAAGAAGAGAGATAAATAGATAGATGATGGGATGGGCGAGATACTGCATCTGAGAGATGGGATGCGGGATTGATGGATTGATGCCCTGCGGCTTCGATTGTGCCAACCCAGCCAGCCAGCCATGCCGACCGACCGACCGATATGCGACATGCCATGCCACCTCACACACACAGGCACACTGATAATCTGCGAGTCGACGAGGAGAGGTGACGGGCGGCAGAACATCCTTCTTTTTGGGCCAGTGAAGTGATGCCGTGTCCCACCTTGGATCATCCAATCTGTCCGGACCAGACTCCATCTGGAATGGACATCCATCGGCATCCGCACTCCCCTGGACCCCAATCGGTTTCTAAAAGAGGAGAAACGGAAAAGGAAAAGGGAAAGGGAAAAAAAGAAGAACAAGTGGGATCGATGGGACATGGGACAGCACCACTGCATCTCCAGCCGAGTCCATGGAAACGGGAAGACAAGGGGAGGGGAGGGAGAGGAGAGGAGGGGGAAGGGGAAGGGGAAGGGGATGGGGATGGGGACCGAGAGGGTACTGTAGGGACGGGAAATCTCATCAACAACCACACAACGAAGCATGCTCTCGAGGTCTGTTCCCCTTCCTTCATGAGACAAGCGAAAAGGAAAAGGTCCGGAGCCCCAGCTTCCACATCGTGTTGACATGGAACGAGGGAACAGGAATCGGGGCCACTGGCCGGCTTCTTTCGTTCTTTCAGCGTGTGTTAGTGGGGTGCACGGGCCACATATCCCCGAGAAATGGGCTGGGGGTAGCGGCTTCCAGGAGGTCACAGAGGCCCCCCCAGGTCGCAGGGGGAGACGGGAGGTCCGTCGGGGCAGGGAAGAATCAGCGAAATCACTCGGTCGCGCCAGGAGACCCCGCCTCCGTATATAAACACCCAATCTTCCCCCCTCGAGCGCGACAGAGCCCGCCCATCCTCCTCTCGTCCTTTGTTTCTCAGTCCACGATCCAACCTCAACTGAACCTTTTGCACGCCCTTTTCATCCAGTTGTATCTTCAGCAAGATATCCTCAGCCTCCAGCCCTAAAACCACAACCACATCCATCACCATGCCTCCCAAGAAGACCGAGACCAAGGCCGCCGATGCCTCTGCCGCCGCCGCTCCTGCTCCCACCTCTGCTCCCACCTCTGCTCCCAAGACCAAGAGCCCCAGCACCCATGCCTCTTACCTTGTAAGCTTTACCAAATCCAAAGAGAAATGCATCTTTTACTGACAATCTAACCAGGACATGATCACGGACGCTATTGTTGCGGTATTTAAACCCCCTCATTATTTTTGTTGTGGCGTGTTTTGGTTGTGGGCGCTTCTCTGGTCGGTGAGCAAAATGAGACAATTGCTCTCATGATGCACGCAACCAAGAATCACCCACACCACTCACCACCCTTTTACTGTCCCTCAGTCATACTGATTTCTTCTTTTTGTCATGCTACAGCTCAAGGACCGCGCTGGATCTAGGTATGTGCCATTCTTCTGCTTACTTTTTCCATTTTTCACCAGGGCTTTGCCAAGCCACACCGCAAACCTTGCGGGCCCTTCCTACGGTCGCACCGATGACCACTTTCATTCTTATTTCCATGACGCGATGAAGGATCACAACATGTTGCTAACGCACACAACAGCCGTCAAGCTCTCAAGAAGTATGTCCGTGCCAACAACACGCTCGGCAACGTCACCGACAACATGTTCGACTCGCTCTTCAACAAGGCCTTGAAGAACGGTGTCGACAAGGGTGTCTTTGAGCAGCCCAAGGGTATGTCACCACCCACATGACGCATCATCTCCTTGTGTTACTCTTTGCATGCTCACACACGATATAGGTCCTTCCGGTGGCACCAAGCTCGCCAAGAAGGTCGCTAAGCCTGCTCCCAAGAAGGCTGCTGCTCCCAAGAAGGAGGCCAAGGAGAAGAAGCCCGCTGCCGCTAAGAAGGAGGGTGCCGCCAAGAAGGAGACCAAGGAGAAGAAGGCTCCTGCTGCCAAGAAGGCCGCTGCCCCCAAGAAGGCTGCTGCTCCCAAGAAGGAGGCCAAGGAGAAGAAGGCCGCTGCCCCCAAGAAGAAGGCCGCTGCTCCTGCCGTTGCCGACAAGGAGACCGTCCTCACCAAGACCAAGTCTGGCCGTGTCGCCAAGAGCACCGCTAAGCCTGCTGCCACCAAGAAGGCCGCTGCTCCCAAGAAGGCTGCCGCCAGCAAGAAGGCCGAGAAGGCCGAGCCCGCTGCCGAGAAGGCATAAACTCGTTCCTTTGGGATGATGTTTTTGTCTCTCTTTTTTGCGCCTCGGTCTCTTCTCATGATGTCTTTAGTCATTTTTTCACCACCACTTGCGACGTGACGGGCTTACTCGAAAGGCGTTTGGGGAATCATATTGCTTGGGAACACTTATCAACATAAGGGGGGGTTTTCATTGGTCTACAAGTCAACGCGTTTTGCTCTTTTTCACAACATCGCCACAGCGCGCGCGGGGGGTAGCTTCTTGTTTCTGGCTTTCATGTATCTTGGATTCACACATCACTCATGGGGATTGAGGAGGTTTGGATCGTTTGTGCTGAAACGCAACGGAGGGTAGGTTTGGGCTACAACCTATGGATGATTGGGAAATGGGAAACGGGCGACCGGCGGCTTCGAGGGTGTCTCAAGAAGCGAAGGACATACACCAAAAAGCCTTATTTTGGATACTGCATTGCATATATAATCCGTCTTGGAACGATACCACTTTTTTTTCTTCAAATACCCTGAGCAAGCGCTTTGCCCTTTTAGTTTGACATGGCTACCTGGCGATTTTGCAGTGTAGTTCTGAAAAAGCCGAGAATTTGGTTTGATGAATACGAAGTTTGGAGCGAAGGACCTTGAAGCGATGATCTGGCGGTCTGGTCTGGTAGTGATGCTGAGTCCAGACGCGAGAAGGCGGCTTTGATAGCTTCACTGTATCTGTAGTATACCACAGGATACCCTTTGACTATCACGGAGGGAATTCGCAAATACACTTTTTTATTATTGTGCAATAAGTTTCGTAAGTTTTGTGGGGTGCGGTGAAAAAGGATTGAAAATCAAGAAGCGAAGAGTTGGCTGGAACGAGCACAACAACGGGGATCCGGCTGGTGGGCGGGAACGCGATTATGGTTAGGTTGTGGGCGGCTCGCTCCTCGCTCGCTCCCCTGTTCCAGGTTTGTTTACAAATTTGATGCCCCGACTTTTTTTTGCCGGCAAACCCCCCAAAACACAGCCTGCCTTGAGAGTCTGGACGGGAACCCTGGAACAGCAAATAAAATGTTTTAAGACATAGCAACTGACGGGCTTGTGACACTCTGAACCTCGATTGTTTCTACTGTACCTCTTATCAACAAGCAAGATAAGACAATTGAAGACAGTCTCTTCACCCTCCTCCGTCTTACCAGCCGGCAACCAGCACAGTCTCGAAAGTGGGAATTTCGGGTAGAATCCATTTCGAGATTGGATTTAGGAAAAATTTCATACTGATATTTCAAACTGCGCCACCTATATGCGGCGGCGAAAGGAATCTACCCGACTCCGTCGGACGGGGACACAATGGCAAAACTTGCCGGGTTGGAGCACTTCAAGTTGGAGACTGACTTCCCTTGGAGGTGAACAAGGTAAAGAAAAGGTTCACCGTTGTAATTGACCGTTGGCTTTTTGTAAACAGTTGGCTCGTGCTCTTCGAGCTTTACCGTAGCTTATAGAGACAGAGCTTTCAGAGCTTAGGTACCTTAGCTGTAGCTAGAGGTACCTAATAAGAGACGTGATCTGACTGGTTGGTTGCAAGTGTTTCAAAATAACAATCATCAAGGTCGACGAGAACCAACTGTTCGTTGAGGAGGGTATAAGGGGACAGCTTGGTGGCCAATGGGTAGCTTCCACTTTGCCCTGAGCTGTGAGGAAAGGGAGCTTGGTGAGACTGGTAATGATGAATTGTTCCTCGCGCAGTGCAGCTGTTGTCATTTTGCCGGACCCCACCGGTTTATGGTACTTGTACCTTCCTCGGCTCTGTGAGTGTGCAGGCATCGAGCGAGCTTATCCGCCCAGGCTTTTTATCCAAGCCGCAGAGTGCTTGCTCTCTCTTCCGTTGAGGTGCAGTGCAGTGCTTCTGACTGACTGATCGCCAAGGGAACCGTCGCAATCGATTGGATTCCACTTTCACGACGACGCATCATCCACTCGGCACAACCAGACTACGCACGCCGCGCAATCATTACGTTGACGGACTGCGAGAAGCGACGGCGACGACTACACTACAACAACGACAACGACGGCCAGGCAGGCAGGCAGCCGAATAAACATTTCGCTTAATCACAGCGCCGCTCCAACAAAAGTTCCCAAATCAAGAGCTGGCTGTGCCTCGTCCCCGCAACCGCTTCCCGAACTTACCGGTCCTCTGTGATTACACTACACTGCCTCCAGGTAGCAATCTCGAACCATCACGGCCATCCATTGTTCCTCCGTTCGACAACGATCTGAAGATCCCTTTCAGCCCCGGTGTGCCAACACAGAGCTGCTTCCATTGGGAACTGGAATGCAAAAGATAGCCGCCACATGACAATGGGTTGCTAGCATATCCATCACTTAGCTCATACCAATCGTTCACGCGCCCGCCCACTCGCTGTCGGCAAACTTGACCAACCACGGACAACAAAGGATAAACACAATGGCCCAACCGTCGTCCCTGAACACCAACAACCCGTTTCGGCGGAAACAAGCCGGCGCATTGACGACCTCGAATCCTCCGATTTCGCTAGCCTCCGACGCTTTCGCCGATGCCTTCGACCCTCTTCCTACATCCCCTTCGTCTTCGCTCGACCCTACACGACCGCCACTCCCGTCTAGCGACGACTTCCGCAACTCCCTCCAGTCTCTCGGCCAGTCCAACGAACCACCTCCAAAGACAAGTTTCCAGAAACCAAAAGTCGTGAAAAGGGTCCGCGTTCAGTCACCACCGCCATCTCCTGAGTCAGAGGAAGAACCCGATACAAATCCGCCAGTGGAGGAAGATACAGCCGAAAGTAGCTCAAGTGATGACCAAGATGAAGGCGCGGATCCGTTTGCCCAGGCTGACGAAGTCCCCCCGCCGACGCTATCACGGCCTGAGTTACCAGGCTCCAGCCAGGTACCGCCAAACCCGTTTGGAAGGACATTAGAGGACCTGGAGCACCCAAAGAATGAGCCAACACAGAATCCCGGTACTGTACCAGGAGGGAAGGGTTCGCTGGACGTTGATTCCTTCAGACGACTCCTTCTCACAGGCCAAGCGGGAGGACCGGCGCAACCACCACGAACCGATGGCGCGAGCATAGCTGATGCATCGTCAACTTTGACTGCGCAAGACACGCCCCGGACATCCCACCAGACTTCGGAACATGGAAGGGAGGAACCACAATCACAACGAACATCAATAAGCGGTCCCATACGCCCAACCGCGCAGGCGCCAGCGACGTCGAGGAGCAAAGCACCGCCGCCGCCGCCGCCCAGCTCGAGGCATGGGAAGCTGATCAAAGTGGAGCCCAAGGGCGAGGAGAGATCAGGGACGCCCAGTACCCCGAGACCGTCATCTTGGTCATCATCTGCCCGCGCTTCTCGTGTTCTAGCCTCGCCGTTCTCAGAACAGCCCTCGGACGTGAACACACCACTGCCACCACCGCCGGTGAAGTCTCCAAGCGAGGAAGACGTGGAAAGTTCATTCGACCGTGAAGCCGCCGCTAAGGTCCCGGATGTGGGCCAAGAGACACACGCACCGACTCCCCAGCCGCCAACTCCGCCCAAGCCAACAACGACCTCACCGCCTCCCTCACAAGCATCGAAAAAACCACCCCCTCCCCCCAGGCGATCGACTCACGGCCGTTCAGAAAGTAAGTTGTCTGTCTCGGGATCTGTGGCGGCACCTGTGCCAACACCACAGACGTCTCGCGCAGATGAGGAACCTACGCGCACTTCTGTAGACTCGATCCGCTCGAGGTCATCGAGCCTAAAGGTTGCCAGTTCTACCACTCAAGTGAATGCACCGGCGCCGCCTCCACCCAGAAGGTCGACGCATGGGTCCAGGCCTTCTACTTCTATATCTGGATTGGGAATTGGGATCACTTCGCCTGTGGCCCCGTCTGCTGGGGGCGAGGGTACGGAGTTCCCTGGTCTGGCAGCTCAACCAGTCTCTGGATCAGCGCAGGGTAGCCGGCCCAGCACCCCCGCCAACTCCTCCTCCAACAACCCAGAAACTGCTAGCATCAGCAGCTTCAGCCAGCCTGGACATGGCAGGACCTTGAGTGGAAGCGGCAAACTAGCCCCTCCACCACCCCCCGCGAGGAACAAATCCGTCCGGTCAGGCGCCCCTTCAACGCCGGGGACTGTGCGCAGGGCGGATAGCGGGAGGAGCAAAGAGCCGACCGGACTGGCATCCCCGGCACCGATTGCCTCGAGTCCGAATCACGCCCCGCCGCCACCACCCAGACCGCGGCCGAGGGGGAGTAATAGGCGGTCGGTCTCGGGAAGTGGGAGTGTTGACAGCGGCAATCCTGCGCCTACGACGGGAACCGTTGAGTCACCTGCGCCTGTTGAATCATCTGCTGCTCTAGCCTCGGGATCAGGCGGTGCGGGTGCGCGGTTTCTGGAAACATCTTTAGCATCAGGCGAGGAACCGAGAGGCCTTCCTGATGGGGAGCTTGCAAGCGGGGACGTCGACGAGGAAGACGTGCTGAGAAGAGAGTCGGCAACTAAGGACATCCTGGCCGATTTGGATGCGTTGCAGAGAGAGGTTGATGCTTTGCGGGCCGCGCAGGAGCAAAGGGGGACTACTACTACTATGTGAATAACCTTGAGGATACAGATCAAGACCTTGTAAAGAAAAAAAGAGAAGAAGGGAAAGAATACAGACAGACAGACAGACAGACAGGAATGGGAAAAACCAAAGATGGTATATACTTGAACCGGGACGGACCGGAAACAGGACGGTCTTGATACATACACTAAAGAGCGAGAGAGAAGTAGGCGGGGATATATAGTAAGGTACCTTCACTTTATATAAGGGCTAAAGTGGAAAGATAATTTGTATAGTACATAGCGAGCATTTGGAGTTTGGAACCTGTTGTTGACTTTTTGTCGATTTTGATACATAATGGGAGTTGAACATGTTCACGTGGTTGTCTTGAAGACTCGCTGTGTTGTGATTGACAGCATTTATTCCTGGCCGACTTGGCATGACCTCCTTCGCCTTGATATGGGTTTACTTGGATCAATTGCTCACGATGTGTTAGACATTGGATTTTCGGGAAAACTTCTGATCAAGTGATGACGCTGAGGAGCTATAGTCACGACTATAGTCAACATGCCTTTTTGCATTATTCGGAACTTCACATAGCAGTGAAGTGTTCTGTATGATACTCAGCGTTACTAACCAATCTGATCTTCACTTTACGTTTCTCGATCACTACAAACACAATGGCAGCTCTGGGCTTTTTGCAGCCTCAGTCTTTCATCATCCTCACTTGATGACCCCCAGCATTATCTATTTCCTTAAACATACCAGTTTATTTTCCAAAACTTTGCAAAATTGAACTACCTCAACACCATCACAAACCCCTCCAAACCCTTCCCCTCCTCCCTCTATCTACACCCTCCCACTCACTTACCTACTCAACGGGCACAACAACCCTATCAACATCCGGTCCCCATCCTGCTCCCTCCCACCCACTCACTACAATCGTATTCCCACTCCCCTTCCTGAACCCCCTCACCACGACACTACTAACCCCTACTTCCCCCGCCGTCCCTTCAAACGCCACTTTTTGCGGCGCTCCCCCATTGACACTAACACCCGCATACCTCGGGTTCGTATCCCCGTTCTTGTATCTTATTTGTATCGTCGTCACTCCTCCTTCTCCCCCATTATTACTCTTAATTCCAGTGATAGTGATGCTACCGTTGGTACTAGTACCGCCGATATACCCCGCCGCTTTTCCCCTGCTACATCCAGCACAACTAACCTCCCTCGCCCCCCCGGAATATTCTCCCTGCTCGCCCTCGTAGCTTTTCTCTGCTGGGCTTTCTGTCCATGGTAAGTCTGAATCGGCATTGGGGATCCAACTACCTCTATTTTTTAGTATCACTTCTGTCTCGGTGATATTGAGCGGTAACCAGATGTAGCTGCTGCTTTGTAAGTTGTTGGAGTGCCATCTGTCGCCCATGTACATTACGTTTCCGTTGCCGTAGTTGAGGATAAAAGAAGTCTGGGAGGCGTAGGTGTTGCTTCCCTTGTCGGCAAAAATCTTCCAGTCGGTCCAAGGGCCGGAGAGATTGGTGGACGTGGTGTAGACGTTGTCGTTGGGGGACCAGCCTGTTAGGTGGGAGCCGAAGAGGTAGTAACGCCCAGAAGAAAGTTTGAGGAGGGCGGGGGATTCGATGGCCGTGGGGAAAAGGTGGGTGGAGGTGGTGCCGGAGATGGAGAGGTAGTCCGGGGTGAGGAGGTTGATGCGGAGGCCGTTTTTGCGCTGTGGTAAATGGGGTTAGTTGTTTTGGTGAATTATGAGAGAGAGGGG